CCCACCCCCACCCCTCTCCCAAGTCATTGTCCAGGTTTGGAGTAACCCTTGAGAAACAGGTCCCCCAGTGTCCCAGATCGGAACATATGCCTCTCCACATAAACACATGGTAACTGGACAAGTCTTTTCAAAAGTGCTTCCCCTTCCCACCCTGGCCCCCTTCCGCATGTTGAGCCAGAAGATTACTTTTCTTCTGAATATGCTTGAAGTATTGCCCTCTCTGAAAATACCAGCTCACATGGCAGGAGTACATCTTGAGAGTAAGTATGTTTTCAGCAGTAAATGCAAGGAGGAAATGAGGGAAGCTGTGATGGGTTGTGTAGTTGTGTACAAAAGCAGAGGCTAACTAGAGAAAGAGACAGACAAAGCTATCTATGTTCATCTTAGTGCTCATGACAGCTCTCAGCTCAGGCTTGTCTTCTGCTTGTCAGTGGGACTAATATTACAAAATTGGTCAAGGACACTAGTCACTTGAAAATGCCTTCAATGTTTAAAGGATTCAAACAGTCTGCTTAAGTACCATTTTTGGCTCACTATTCATGGACATAACAACAACGTAGAACAGCAAGAAGGAAATTCTTTCAAGGGAAGACAGAGAGGAGGAATTTCAACCCTGTGATAAAGCAGAATGAAACATGGATGTTACACAGGTCAGAGATTCTTCCTACCTGAAGAGCAGTTTCAATGCAGCCACACTCTGCCAAATGGAAGGCTTGAGCACATTTGATGAAAGTGATAAATCTCCCAGCATACAGGCCCAGCAAAAGCTGTATGGCTGCACAAATCACTTCCTTACAGTTTGAATAAATTAAGTGAGGGTCTTGCCCCTGTGCTCATCCTTTGAATGGGGCTAAACTTGCACCCAAGTTAAAGGCGTTTCTCAGAGCGCTTACTGTAGCAAGTAAACTGTATTGCTTTTCGTGTGCCCTTTCATTAGAAACAACTGGAAGACTACAGAGTGAAGAATCAAAGAAGAAAGTAAATTTGAGCACTGTAAGTCAGCATAAGTGAAGGGCTGGAATTGCAAAATAGTAATCTCAGGTATCCTTCCCTCTAGAAAGTGCCATTTCCTGTTTTAAAACTTGAAAATAACAAATATGTTCTTTTTCATTTACCCCAAGGTTATCTTAGGAACATACTCTTACATAGTGATAGATTAAAATTATTAAAAAGCATTTGCTTCTCTGTTTGTGTGTTGAAAATGCTTTTCAAATAAAAAAAACTGGAAATGAATGAATACTGTTATAAACAACCCAGAAAAAAAATATTAATAGTTTCTTTCCTTTTTTTTTTTTTTTTTTAAACAAAAAGTTTGGGAGTTCTTACCATATTGTACCAGGCACTAACAATAAATTTCTCCTCCATCTCTCTTTGACTTTTTGTTTTTTCATATTCTTTCTATAAAACAAACATCAAAAAAGCATACATTTAAATCAACATATAATAAAAGGTATTAGTCTACACCTAAAAAGCAATGAAGAAATACGCATCTACCAGGAAACATGAGGATTACTACCTCCAATGAATGAAACATTCTGTCCCGCTCCTGCAACTGATTTTTCAGAGCCTGAATCTCAGGAGCTGCACCCTGGTTCTGTTTAGGATCTAAGGTGCGGATGACCTGTAAGAGAAAAACAGTTTGTTTTTAATTAAATCCCACAAAAGCAATCTAATTGAAGGGAAAGACGTCAAGGAATTACAACCTTTTAAATCAGGTTAAGAAATAAAAAAGTGACTTAAAACATGTCAGTGCTAAGAAACGACACTCCGAAACGTGAAACAGAGGGATGTGCAGTTTTAAGAGGCTGATGCCTGTAAAGTAATCTTGACAGCAAGCACAACAGAGGCTCTGCCTCCGTCCAGCAGCCATGACACATTAGAGCACCTGAACCGGGCTCTCTTTTACAGGACTGGGAAACAAAACTACTGATAGGAAAAAATCACACCTAATAGGTTCAGTATCCCAGACTCACATATGCAGTTCCTACTCCTAGCTGCACTCCCCTGGCAGTCCCTTGAGATGTACCACTTTGGTCCTTATAGAAAAGTGCCATGATTCACCTCCCTGGGGTACCAGGTGCTGTCATTTCTAGATAGCACTGTTAAGCCAAGAAGCGTTCTATGGCACATGCATGATCATTATATTACTAATAAGATGAAGGGACACCTTCCTATGTTCGTGTGTGTCATCCACCATGGGTACTAGCAAACACAGAGCTAAACAAAGAACAAATCCAGCAAAATGACAGAACAAGAGGGAATGGCTTCAAGCTCCAACAGGGTAGATTTAGACTGAACATTAGGAACGATTTTTTCACAGAAAGAGTGGTCGGGCATTGGAATAGGCTGCCCAGGGAGGTGGCTGTGTCACCATCCCTGGATGTGTTTAAGAGCCGTTTAGATGTGGTGTTGGGGGATATGGTGTAGGGGAGAACTTTGTAGAGTAGGGTAGATGGTTGGACTCGATGATCCCAAGGGTCTCTTCCAACCCAGACAATTCTATAGTTCTATGATTCTATGAAAATGCTTAGATTCATAATCCTTTAATAGAAAATAGCTTAAAACTTTTAACAACTTCTGGATATAGAGAAAGAAACTTCACATCTCTTGTCTTTCTACCCATTTCAGAATCATGTCCAGATGCTGAGATAAAACAATGCTTTAAATTTTAGTAGGTCATTTTTACCAAATGGTAGTCATGAAGGAAGATTCATAAAACTGTACTATGTTCCTAAGAAAATACACATTAGATCTTGATACAGTTTCTGTAGTGGAAGCCTATAATGATTGTACTCTTCACCAAAAAAAAAAAAAAATTTAAAATTACTGAAAGTTGGTAAGATCACAAAAAGCTATCCTAACTAAAATAATGTTACTGTTGCATAAAACACCCTATAGTAACACAGTACATAAAAAGTAACAAATCTTATTGAAAAGGGAAATTGCAACTCTGTCTTTCACTGGAATACTCTGAGACACAGTCAGCAGAATAAGATGTAAAAAAAAAAATAAAAAAATTAAAAATTACTTGTGTAGATTTCCTGAAGACTTCTGAAACATCTCACAAGAACTCATTGAGGAAACTACAAATAAGTAAAGGAAAGAAGCATAAAGCTTTGCCAAATTAGGAAACTACTTACAGATTCCAATTTAATGATACACAGCCATAGTAAAGACCTTGATACTACCATGATCAGACGAACAGAGACACTGGCATGCCTGTAAGCAACTCTAACAAAATATCGAAGTATAGCAAGAAACGAAATGGGACTATGATTGAGACCACAATATTGCAATTTCAAAGCTGGTAGTATACCCACATCCTCAATATCATACTTAAATATTAGCCACCTTCTTGACAGAAGCATTTACTAAACAGTAAAGACAAAGAGAATGCTGAATGTCATCAGAGAAATGTAACAGATCTCAAAGGTGGTTCAGTTAAAAAGATCACTTTACTTGGAAAAAGCATCATAAAAGAGTCTGTATCAAAACAGTTTCTAAACCAGCTAACTAAACCACAACATGATTAGAAATAAGGGGCAAAAGATGAATAAAGAAAGCAAAATCAAATTAAAATTGGTAACGATGGCTCTAGCACATGTGTAATTAATTACCTCTGCTTGTAAATTCTGAGTCCCTCAAAAAGAATAAGCAAGTTTTGCAAACAATTAGAACCTGATGAAATCTGAAGTAGCTAAAAGCTGTATTTATGAAAAAGTGTACCAAATTATCTGCTCCAGGTAAGACAGACATAACTGACTGAGCACCAGAAGAAGTCCACCATCCAGAAACACACATAAACAGATGCAGCCACCTGTGAAGGAAAGAATGCCAAACAACCTTTTCCCTCTCTGCCAAACTGATAAAAGCAGAGTTTGTTGGTCTAACTGTACCTGTACGTGGTGTTACCAAGCTATATCTGTGCATACAAAGAGGCAGAACTCCTCATGACAACTGTGCCAGAAGTCTCCAAAAGCCCCAGTACAAATGCCAATTAAAGAGTACTTTTGCTTCCAGAGCTTCCTTCCTTGGAGTTGGTTTGAATGGGTGGTTTTCCAATTCTAAATGCAGCACAGCTATTTCAGTAATTTCTATGCTACCAGTCCTAGTATGGACACTGCTTTAGCTGATCTATACATTTGTCACTCAGAGACAAAAGTCCAAAGAATTTCTGCAAAGAAATAGGTTATCACAGCATTAGAAAGGGTTTAACAGCCTTTCCTTGTCATCAGCCAACATGAAAGCATGCTTAACAAGGTTTGCCTGGGTGACACTCAAATATCTGTAGCAGTGGGTATACATTTGTACAGAGGCATCAGAAGGGAACAGTCATGAACACAAAACCAGGGTAAAATCTTCTGCATAATTAATCAGTATTAGGTACCATAATGGTAAGTAGAAAGAATTCACTGTGTCTTCCTTCTCTTTTACTTGCTAGTGTGTATACAGATACCTCCTTTATTTTCATTCCTGCAGAGTTAATGTGGTGCAGTTTGGCAGAGAGGGATCATTAACGTGGAACACATACTTACACTTTTGGCCTTTTCCAAATACTTTTTGTATCGCTCTTCCATTTGCTTCATTTCCTCCTCCTTTTTCCGTAAAGCTTCTTGTAATTCTTCAATTTTGAGTGCTTTATGTCAGGAGATGCACACATTGGAAAATAACATAATTACATTATGTTTATTTTTATGTTTTTCAACAGAGATTTAAGGCACAGCTAGAATTTGTTTCAGTTAAGAAAAGCTAACATAGGGAACCTGATGTAGCAGATACTATAGTTTTAATTGCTGAACAGCTCAGAAAAACATTAAAATGTGTACTCCTGTATAATCTCATGAGATGGCTATTTTGCACACAAATTCTGCACTTTTTTAAATTATGAAAAAATAACAAGAAATGGAATCATAAATCAATCCCATTACTGAACACACTTAGAAAATCAGTTTACTAATGAATTACAGATTTCATATCATCTTGGTATTGTAACTCAGATAAATGAGTTTTCCTATTTTATGTAAGATGAATGTGCCTTAACAGGCACAACTCTTGCAACTCTTACTTAAATCTGCTAAGCTGTAACACTGGACACAATTTATCAGACTTGTGACATGAATATACTCAATTTAATTTTTCCCCCACATTTTCGTAAGTAGTAATGCAGACCAGTAGGACAATTTCATTGCACAGACTTTTCCTATGTTGATATAAGAATATGTCAAGACACTATTGCTTATACATCTTCTATACATCTTCTCATCATTTTTCTCATCTCAGAAAAAAAAATAAATCAATTGCATCCTCCCAGATCAAATAGCATGTAACATTGACATCTGGTTCTCAGACATTTAATAATTGGCAACCCTCAGTCCCTCAGTTTTGCAGCCTTATTTTGAAATGTTCTTTCAGGTTTTTCCCACAGTTTTCTCTCTAAGCACTCAGAAAACACTCAGCTGGTAATAGGACTAAGTAAGATTTTCATTGATGAGTAAAAAGACCAATAGCCGATGGTCTCCAAGATTGCAAGAATACATTTTTCAAAATGTGCCATGATTCTTGTACAATGCCCAAACATTTTGGCCATATCCAGGACAGTTAAAAGATTCTGAAATAGTTATTCACACACATTTCCTGAGCATGGAAAGAAAGGAAGAAAGTACAACTATTTTTATTGTACCAAGACAAAAATTCACACCTATATTTTTAAAAGGCAACTTGCAATTTCAGTAAACTAACTACAGAAGCCTCAATACACCCTAATGTTTAGAAGCCAGCAGGTCAGAAAACTGCTATTACACTCACACTGAAGCTTACCAGGTACAACAGGTTTACATCTTTATTAGCTACTCATGAAGTTCCTGGACTTCATTTCCAAGTGTTCCAATATTTCCCAAGACATGGAATCTATAACATATTCTGCAGTTTTAGCTCAACACAAATGAAAACTCTTTTTGGATAGAGAACCTATGTAATGAATACTGAACTGAAATGTCTATCTTCGTCAAACTCTTTACGCATAAAATCGCTTCGGCACAAACCAGAAAAGCTGACATTGGTTGCAATCTTTTGCCTTGTTTTATAGTAAGTAGGCTAGGAAAAAAACAATCTACCTCCTTCAATACTCCTTAGGAAAAAGTATTATTAATATGCTAAAAAATGACTGGATGCTGGGTTCTGGATACCATCTGAGCAATATGACATATATCCTACAGTCTCTTCTACTAATGTCCGAAAATTTTCTCAAATTAAAACAGGGTTCTGAAAACCCACTGAAGGAATATATATTGGGAGTAAAAAGAACGTGGTGATGGCAGCAAGGATCTCCTAAATTAGGGTCTTAGGAGATGTGACAGCTCTGACCAACTGAGGTTCAATGACAGGTACAACAGTGACTCGGTGTTTCTACGGCCATCGTCATTTCTTACTACAGTGGTCTCTAAAACATGAAACATGACTCCCTGCATTTCAAGCGTTAGAAGCATCTTTTTGGTCACCGTGGCTTCCAGAGAAATTAACAGCATACATATCACTGCCATTTAAAAAGCACATCTTGTTTATCTTGCACCACCTATAGGTATTTTAATTAAAGACCTTCCATGTGAAATATTTTACAAAGAAAAGAAATGGACTGCACATGTAACTCACAACTGTTATTGCATCTTGGTTCCAAATCTTCAATAATAGCTCGTTTCTTCTGTAGCTCATTGTTAGCTTCATGGAGCTTCTCACTGTTACAAACCATAATAGCACATATTGTTTTCCCAAGATTAATACTGTGCTTGAATGAACATTAAGCGATACAAGAAGTCCTCAGTGATATCTTTCTGAGAGCGTGACTGGTATTTGCTTTGGGGCACGAGAACAAACAACAATGTCACCCTGGTAATATTCGTTAAATAAGCTGAAAAATGTTACAGTGTACGGAGACCTGTAACAACAAACAGCTTCATTTTCAGTAATTATAAACCTTATTTAGAACTTACAGTTAATTTTACTAAATGTACATGGCCAAAAAGAATACTTGCAATTGAGATTACATTGGGAAAGAATGGCGAAGTCCAAAGGCAGCAGAAAATACTTTTTTTTTTGCAAGCCAGTCAAAAAGTAAACAGCTCTTTGCATTTCAGAGAAGTACAATAGATGCAGAAATAGCAGAACAAAATGATAACACTTCATAAAATGCCTTCCTTTTATCCCATAATGTATTGAAAAAGTAAACAAATTAATTTTGTTTACATTAACATGCTTTTCTGAAAACAAAATTACTTACTCCTCTTCAGTAAAGATTTACACAATATTAAGCAAAGTTTTCTAACCACCACAGAATCATGGTTTCTTTATTGCTCTTACTGCTTTCACAAAGGTTTTCTATGAGATGAAAATAGCATCTGAACAGCAGATTCCCAAACATTCCTGTGTTATCTAATTTCTCTTAGTTGTATATTTTCCAGATGCATGATTAATGACTGTCTGCCTTCCTCACCATATGGAAAACACACCATTTCAAATGGCAAACAAAATAGGCAAAAAAAAAAAATACTTACAGATGTTCTTCAAGTTTCTTTTTCAGAAGAATTGACTAAAATAGAAAGTTAAACATTTATTTTAATATATTGCAGAGATTTAACATAATTTCAAAATTATTTTTAAATACATAATTTTGGCATTCTAACCAAAATCCAACTTTTTACTTCACTCAGTTTTAGATCACAAAGTGTTTGAACTGGCACCATCACTTAAGTCTGATCATTTAGGAGATTATTGTCCTCTGTGGTAGCAATTCTTCTCTCCACAGCTGTGTAATTTTCCTGAAATTAGAGTACTTTATAACTTTAAAAATATTTTCCCAGGAACTAGATCAATAAAAGCAAGACCCATAAGCAACAAAATTCTATGGCAGTTATTTTAATTTCTTCAGTACTTCCGTAACTAGACTTAATAAATTAACCTGAAATGGAAAGTGCAGCAAAATTTTCTAGAAGAGCTTTCCTATCAATACTGCAATACAATTTCCATGAAGACATGTAGCAAATTAGTCAAAGTAAATTCCTGTCCCCAACCAGAGGGAGTGGAGTGTTTCTGACTGGAGTATAGCAGAAATTTACCCTTTTTTCTGTTTCTCATCTTTACTATACAGACACAAAAATTATCATACAACTTACAGTGTTCCACTTTCTGATTAAATCACACTTAAATAAGCTCTTTGAATAAAAGCTTCAAAGAAAATTTTACTTTAATTTTAAACTCACTTGATATACAGTGAGTATCTTTCAAAAAAATAAACCCAATAAATGTCTATAAACTGACAGTAGTGCTAAGTAAATAGAAAGCCATACTCACAATAGCCTTGAGCAGAAGCCCATGCCAAGAAACAGAGATGACATTAGTATAAAGCAAAACAGCAGCCAACAGAAGAAACTATTTAGAAAGTCATGAACAGAAAAAGTTAAAGCTATGCATTTTTTCACACATGCGCATTTTTCTCCTTTGTTCTCATCAGCAGTTTCATCCTGTACAATTTTCTAAAACATATCACTAAAAGCAAAAATATAAAAATAGTAAAGAAGCACATTTGTAAATCATTGTGTTTAAACCAGAATTTCAAAGCAGAGCACCTACTACTTAAAGTAATTTTAAAACAAAAAAACATACAATTAACAAAACAGGAGAAACTATGTAGTCTACTGGGCTGCAAACAAAATTAAGAGATGCATGTGTTTTTGTGGAGTGATTCTGAATTGTGTTATTGCCGCACTGATTGAATAAAAGACAAATGTAGAATATTTACATCAGAAACCGCCTTTTTGGTTTGCATTTATCCATTACCAATCACATTGGAGGTCTAGCATATGACTGATGGTCCAGAACGCCATGGAAGTGTAAGATAAAATCATCAACAAAATTACTTCATTGCTTTTTCTCCAATGGCCTTTCAACAAAAGTTTAGATGCCTGGCCAACAGAGACAATTACCATGTGCACCCAAAAAAGCTTTTAGCTTTGTTAAAGTGTAAATACTTTGAAATATTGTCTTTGATCACGCTCCTGGGTTATGCTTTTTCATCATTTCAAAGTTGGATCTCCTTATTGCACTGTAACAAACAGGGGGACCACGTAAAAACAAGCCACCATGACTTCACTGACTTCAGGTTCAAAAATTTGTAGCAGCTAAGGATCTGCAGGTTTTAACCATTTGGCTTTTGACTTTTCCAGTCCTTCGAACAACTGCAGTAACACCATCTTTTCTGTAACAATTAATGTTTGTATGCATCTTTGTTGGTCACAAAGTGTTTGAACTGGCACCATCACTTATGTCTGATCATTTAGGAGACTATTGGTTGGTTTAGACAAGAAAGGGAAAAGTTGCCAACAGTGCCCATTTTCCTAAGGTAAGAAAATAAAAATCGAACTCAGCTTTTCTTTTGCAATCCTTGTATTGCACTTGGAACAGACAAAACTATTTGTCAACATTGATTCCACTGGTATATTTTCATATATATTATTTGCATAGTACCAGCATTGTTGTGCGAGTAACCCCTCTCCCACCTAGACAGATCGTATGTTCTCACAAGCAGGAAACTAACAATGATAAACAGCACACCCAATTAAAAGAAGCAGGACTGAGTTTACCCAGAGTAATTTACCTGAGACATGAGATTAGGAAAAAGAACAAAATGTAAAATGTGCGATTCCAGCCACCCAAAGATCCTGTATATACTTGTAGCAAGGCAGGTAAATTCAAATAAATTATGCTACAAATGGGCAAACATTACTTTTTTTTTTTTTGAAGTCTCAGTTTCAAAGCCATATATCCAAATCCTCTGCTCCTAAGAAGTAATCACTATAACCGTTGTTCTGTCATAGGAATACCAGTCTTTTATAAAAAATCACAATTAAAAAAAAAAAGTGCTTTATCTAATTTTGAGCTAGTTTTAAATTTAACTTCATTCAAATGTTTTATCTGTTCACAATAGAAGACCATTTCTATAACTAAACTGTAAAAATAAGCAAATGCACACTTGCTATTTCACTTTTTCATCCCACTGCTAACAAGTTCCACTTACAAAACACCAGAAAAAAATACTTACTATGGTGTGATTTTTGAAAACAGGTATCCTCCCCAGTATTTAATTGCTGCTTTTCTTTTAAATCAAAAAAAAACCCTACAGAAATAAACCCTTTTTGCTGGAAATTTATTTCATCCTTAAATAAGTCATAAGAACAGGTCTGTCCCCTAAACAGGACAAAGAAGATGACAGAAGTTATAAACAGCACCATGAGGGGTGGTCAGATGCTAAAAGTATTCATAGAATCAGAATAGTTTGCGTTGGAAGGGACCTTTAAAGGTCATCAAGTCCCACCCCTCCTGCAATGAGCAGGAGCATCTTCAACTAGATCAGATTGCTCAGAGCCCCATCCAACCTGACCTTGAACGTTTCCAGGGATGGGGCATCTACCACTTCTTTGGGCAACCTGTTCCAGTGTTTCACAAATAAGCAAAGCAGCTGAACTTCAGAGGTAACTGAACCGGTAACAGAGTTTTGGAGACCTTTTAGGGAGGTGTCAAGTCAGGAGTACTTAGTAACAGCAGGCATCAGTAACAGCATATAAGGCCAAGATTGAGTACTTAACAGTATGAGAAACACCAGACATGGTATGGATTTTGCAAGACTAGGTTCAGTGGGGTAGAAGTACCTAAAGGCAGGTTGCTTACATAGGGAGGGATCAGGGCAGAGAAAGGGAGAACAAGGATGACAAAAGAGAGTAATAATAAGGCATGCAAATGATGTAGTCAAAGCTGCTCAGGGTACCTGTTGAGCAGCCCTACACATGACCACTGGAGGTGGAGGAGGACAATAAATGAAACCTGCTATTCTGATCACACCAGGCATGTCTGAGTTGACTCTGTAGTCTGGAAGACCGGAGTAAGGAGGCCTTTCCCCCGCCAGCAAGTCAACAGCCAGGATGGACTAACCATACATCCCAACAGGATGTGTCAGTGCCCATTACAGGCCTAATGGCACTGATATCTTCCTAACATTTGCCTTTCACTGCATGTCAGTACAAAATCAAAACTGCTTCCCCATGTGGACCTTGGCAAGCAGCATGTACCATTGCAATGATACTGGCCAGGGTTAGGATAGTGCTTTTACCATGTTTTGGGCAAGACTAAAAATTACTCCAACTTCAAATACAAACAAAACTAAAACCAAAAACCACCCCAAGCCCTCATCATACATTTCTGGACAGAATACAAATGGGATCTTCAGTTTTCTGAGTGAGGCATAGTTACAGTGTAAGTACACAAAAATATAGATTCCAGTGCATTGTTGCAGAAAAGCAGTGAAAAACAGAGGAAACATGCTGAGAATGATGCACCAATGACCTGTATGCCATGTCTCTCCTTATCCTTTTTCTCCTGCTTCTGAAGAATCACTCTTTTTGAAAGGTTATCTTAAGGATAACTCAGGTCATCCCAACATGACTTCCATCTACTTAAGCAGCTGGGTTTAACATTGAAGTTTGCTGTGCTTTGTGTGGGAGACGGAATCAGGTGTCTACACCTTCAGAGGTTCTTGCAGCCTCAACACTTCTCTGAGTCTACACTTCCTCTTTCGCATCTTTAAGAGTCAATTAAATCCTACACACTGGACTCAGCAAAAACAGTTCATGCGATTAGTGCCTATAAATCACCACTGGCATGGGCAGACCTACACAGGAATGCAGCAACTGCATCATGAACTTGCCAGTTCTGATTTGACAAGGGCTGCCTGGTACGCACAGCAGGCTGTACCATGGTGTTATGATGGTGGTGATTTGCTGTTAACAGAATCATCTCAGATGGTGCCTACATAGGCTGCAACCAGTCCTGTAAGTGAGCTGCAGAAATGTCCTAAGTTACCGTCCAAGCCAGAGCCTCAAAAAGGGACACAACTAACGTTGTAGTAAATAAATTCAGTTGGAGAGGGATCATTTACAATACTCAGTATCTGAGAATAATTTTTTCATATACTTGTTCACCCAGAAAAATCTGATTTTGGCCAATAACCAAGACAACAAAGAATATCTCAGAATCACGTAATAGTATGGACCTATTTTAAAATGCATTTTAAAATGCATTCTAATTTACTTAGGAAAACAATCTTATTTGAACTTGATTAGGTATTTTACTTTCATATTCCGAAAATTAAGAGCATAAGCTAAATTAAACACACTCTGAAATGAAAATAAGCAGCTCATAAAAACTTTTACTCTTTTATATAAATTAGTTAAAACAAATCCACAAAAATAGAAAGCAACACATTACAACTTTTTGCCAATTAGCAACACAATACACTGAGATTGTGAGCATACACTGTGCACATACAGTCCAGCAAATCACTGCTTTCAAGAAAGTTCTAGAGCTTCTTCTCTCAAATACAGGAGATGGCAAACACAATTTTTGAGTGGAAGACTGAAAGTTGTTTTCCCCACTAACTCTGCCACAATGTGTATTCTTACATTAAAAATAAAGTTAACTCCATATACAGAAACAGAAAATGCTGCATTATGTTGAGGGCCTAATTATTTAACTTTTTTAAATTTTGTCCTGCCTGGCTTCTTGCATTATGAGATACATTTACATCCCCAATTACAAAGCTTCCACTGGCAGGAAAGGACTTAACTTTCATTATGAAAACGAAATGAAAAATAACTTCAGATACTTTATTAAGACATGGAGAATTAACATTTCCTTAATTCCTTGCAAAACTATTCTAATTAAATAATTCTAACACTGTTTACTATCAGAAGAGACACAATTAATCAAATAAAACACATCTAACACCTTCTCTACACGGCATGGTTTTCTTTTCTAGACAAATGTCTTACTATGTCTTCCATGCTATTTACAGAAGCACAATTTAGTGACAACACCATGTGAGTAAATATGGAAAACTATCAGAAATCTCTATATGCATTTCTTTTACATATGTTTTGTTACCAAAAGACAAGAGTTTCAAAAATGGTAACTACTTGAATGTAAGTTTGATGCACATTTCTACTTACATCTTCAGCTTTTGAACCTTGATCCTGCAAAGATTTTTGTAGTTCTTCAACCTGGGACTGCACTTCTAGAAGTCTCTGATTTACCAATCTAGGAAAGAGACAGTATTTTGTTTTTCAGGAAAAAAACAAACAACTGCAAAAGGAAACCTGAGATTTTTAGTGTCCAGTGTTTTCAGGTCATCTACACAAGAGATGCTATACTGCATTTCATTCATGGAAAATTTACAACAGTAAAAAAAAGTTAGAGCATACAGCAGTCCCAGAGATTATAGCCTGTAGTCATCCAGAGCATTCTGATACTCTTCCAAGACAAGATAAATGTATGTATAAAGAAATCATTTCTATACACACAAAACGAGTTTCTAACAGTCAGTTTTACTGTGTGAGAGCTGCTAGCTTACTGCTTTTACACAGTCACAGAATCCTATAAACCTGTAGGATGGAAGGGATCTCTAGAGACTGTCTAAATCCAACCCCATCCTTAAAGCCAGTGCACTTAGAGCAGATTGCTAGGAACCATGTCGAGTCCAGCTTTGGACACCTTTAAGAATCTCTTTGGGCCTCTCTTCTATAGCTCAGACCCATGCTCCGTATTGTGTCTGTTGCATCTTGTCAATCTCTGAGAAGACTCCAGCCCTGTCTTCTTGACATCTTCCCATCAGGTAGATGTAGATCACAGCATTACCTCCTCTATGACACCTTTTCTTTGGCCTGAACAAACACAGTTCTAAGTCTTATCCCAAATATCACATGCTCCAACGTCCCTCACCTTAGCACTATTCTGCTGCACTCCTGTACATCCATGTCTTTCTTGTACTGAGGAATCCAAAATTGTATGCTATGTTCAGATGTGATTTCATAAGTACTCATGAGAGGTGAATGGCTTTTTTCCCAGGCTGACTGCCTGCACCCTCGTGAGGACAGCCCGGGTCACAGTCAGCTGCAAGGTCCTCAGCTGACACATCCTCCTTTGCTGCCCACTGGAACCCCACAGCTTTTGCAGCAGAGCTGCTCCTCAACCCACTGGTCCCAGCCGCCATTGCCAGGCTCCGCCCAGCCAAAGACACAGCTCCCATCAGCTCATTTCTCTGGACTGCTGAGTTCCTCTGAATAACAGCTCTCCATGTCCGCATATCAGTCACTCCCCCCAGTCTGGTACCATGCTCAAACTTGCTGAGAGTACAGTCCCTAACATCAGTCAAGTTGTTAATAAAGGTGATGAACAGCATCGGTCCTGGTATTCATGCCTGAAGAACGGGTTGCCAGTTGCATTTTGTAGCACTGATGATAACACTTTAGGCCCAGCTGCCCAACCAATTTTCCACTCGCTTTACTGTCCACTTATTCAGTCTATATCTAACAATTCTGAACATGAGGATACTATGGGAGACCATGCCAAAGGCTCTTCTAAAGGTAAGTATCATGCATCCACTGTTTCACCTTTCTTCACATAGGCAGTCATCTCATTTTCAAGAAAATTGGATTACTTAGGTAAGATTTGCCCTGAATAAATTCATGATTGCCTTTCCCAACTACTTTCTTGTCCCTCACGTGGCTGGAAACACATTCCAGATGGACTTGCTTTTTGAAATTCCTAGAAAATGAGCTGTGTGTGACCAGTATCTGTAGTTCTCTGGACTCTCTTTCTTGCCCTTCTTGAAGATAAGTGCAGTATTTACCTTTTCCCAAGCTTCAGGAACCTTCTCCAATTAAAGGGAAGATTGGGGAAGATTAAACAGAGAGCAGATTCAAAGATTAGATAGAAAGCAGCCTCATAACAGTATCAGCCAGCTACCTTAGCATGCTCAGATATGCGCTGTCTGGTCCCATGTATGTCTGTATGCTGATTGGCTTAATCTAGCAGGGTCAGTTGGAGCAGGTTGCCCAGGAACACATCCTGTTGGGTTTTAAATAGCTTCAAAGACAGAGACAACCTCTCTGGGCAACCTATTACAGTGTTCAGCAACCCTCCCAGTAGAAAAAAAAGCATGTTTTTACGTAGAGGTGAAATTTAATATGTTTTAATTTCTGTCTACTGCCTCTTGCCCTGTTACTGGGCATCACTGAGAAGACTCTAGCTCCCTCACTCTCCTTATATGAAAGATGCTGCAGTCCTGTGATTACATCCTTGGGGCATTTCACTGGACTGACTCCAGTAATTCCATGTCTTTCTTGTACGGGGGAGGCCAGTATGGGACACAGTACAGTCAAAAGCATATGGCATTGTTAGAAAGTCAACTGAAATGAAGGACAAAACTTCTTACCTGTTTTCTGTCTCCAATTCATTCTTCCTTAAGTTTGCATCATCAAGAAGGCTCTGCAACAAGGCGATCTTTTCATTGTCAGAACCTTCTTGGTTCAACTTTAACATCTTGTTCTCATGCTGAAGGCGAATGAGTTTCTCCCTAAAAACATAAAATACAATTTTGTCGAAAAAAGTATGCCAATCTCTATAAAGTAGAAAACAGTTTGCCCCAGGAGGTGTAAATATAACGTAAAGATCATCTTCACCTATATAAGGGAGACAGCTGAAACAACAATCATGTCTTCAAACCCCCTGATTAAACAAACATGATTAAAGGAGGTATAATTGTAGAAAGCACAACACAAGGAAGTTGCCTGAGTGCCCCTATTACATCTCAGAGTACAGGTGGACAGATTTATAGGTAGAATGTGGAGAACGTAAAGCTTGCTGCCAAGTGTTAAGGGAGGCTGTATTCTCAGCTGTCACTGAACTACTGCCTGAACCTGAGCGAGTCACTTCTACCCTATTGGTATGTTTTCAGAGAATCATAGAATCATTTAGGCTGGAAAAGACCCTCAAGATCATCGAGTCTAACCATTAACCTAACAATACCAAGTCCACCGCTAAACAATGTCCCTACGCATCATGGTCTACAGGTGTCTTAAATACCTCCAAGGATGGTGCAGCAGATGCACCTGCCCTGACAAAGACCTAACAAAGACCTGACAAAAACCCACCAAAACTTCCCTCTTACAGCTCTTGTATGTAACAAAGACCTGACAAAAGCCCATGAAAACTTCCCATCACAACTTTTGTCACAGCCACCTGGTGGTGGCCTGCACATGTGCACTTCAGTCACATTTCGTTGAAAGGTGAGGAAGTTGTGGCTCTCAACCAATAAGAGGTGGCATGACCATATATGACCACATATCAGATTCAATCAGGATATAAATGGAGCCTGCTAGAGGGCAAACTTTAAGTTGTCCTCCTCCTAAGCAGCAGGTCTGCAGTCAGAGACTCTCCCTGTTGATTGGGACGTCACCCATCTTGTGTACAGGTTGAGAGCAGTCATGTTATAGGTTCCCAAAGAGAAAGAAATCAAGCAAGGGAAGAAGGAGACCTGCATGGCTGAGCAGGGACCTTCTGAAAAAACTCAGGTGGAAGAAGGGAGTTTACAATAGGTGGAAGAAGGGGCTGACTGCTTGGGAAGAATATAAGAATGCTGTCAGGGTATGCAGGGAGGAAACAAGGAAAGCCAAGGCAGCCTTGGCATTGAACCTGGCAAGGCATGTCACGGCCAATAGGAAGGGTTTCTTTAAGTATATAGGAGACAAAAGGAAAACTAGGGAAAATGGGGGCCCGCTGTTGAATGAGACAGGTGCCGTGGTGACAGATGATGCAGAGAAGGCGGAGTTGCTAAATGCCTTCTTTGCTTCTGTCTTCACTGTTCGGGCCAGTTCTCGGGAGACCCAGACTTTGCAGGTAACAGAGAAAGTCTGGAGGAAGCAAGACTTTCCCTTGGTTGATGAGGAGCAAGTTAGAGATCAGTTAGATAAACTGGATATACACAAATCCATGGGGCCTGATGGGATGCACCCCTCCCTGTTCCTCACAGTCAAATGGTCTTGGTCTGTATGGAGCAGCTCTGGCTGTAATAAAAAGCCCAGGTTGCCAGTGCTCGCCATGCATATACTCAAGTTGTTTACAGTAGATCCCAAAAGACCACGGGCATTAAGAACACCTATATAATAGCACACACATCTGTCTTACTCTTACAGAGGTGAGAATAAGGTCTTGAAATAAGTTTACTGTAAAATCTCAGTTGTTTTTGACAGCAGCTGCTACATCTTTAATGCCACTTTAATTTCAGTAGTTGGCTCTGAGCAGAAAACCAAGCATTTTAAAAGCTTTTTGCTATAACCGCTTCCCATCTATCTTCTATGATCAGCACACAGAACTCCTCTTACCAGATTTTTCACCACTACAGAAGCCATACAAGCAGACACACTACAAACATCTTATTACAGCTAATAACCAACTATACCAACATATCATACAGCTACCCTGTAGGGACATCAGACAGATGGTTCTGAAGTCCATAAATTTATTTATAAGCTGCTTAATCTTCAATAAAGTGTTTCATACCAACAGGAGACAATACCTTGAAAGCAATCCTTTTTCATTTAAGCCACTCTGAGGAAACAGAGCCCCAACATGAGAACCACACATTTCTGAAAGCAGCAAAGCAAAATAAACTTCTTTTGCTAAGAAGACAAAGGGGTTATGAACAACGGATATTTGCATGAAAAGAGATACAGTCCTCAGAAAAACATCAGCTAAGAAAAAGTTATAAGGCATAATGAGAAGGAAGCCATCTAAGCATCCTAACCCTAATTCTAAACATGAACTAAACTTCCAACCAAGAAGTCTCTGACTGGGAAAAGTTACTGAAGCATTGTTAAACACAAACAAACACTTAGTTAAGCATAAGCTCTGGCAAAATCACAACAAAGATTGCAGCATCACTGATTAAGCGTCACACAACTAAAAATAATTGTTAACAGAACATGCATGAACAAATGGTACAGATGAAAAGAAAACATTATCAGAAGTTTCTTCTGAAGTTACGATCATTTATATTAAAAAATCATCACGTTACCCTGAATGATATCTGAAAGATTACTGCCAAGTCCTAAGTCAACCATGCTCACAGAATACCTGCTAGTTTCCAGAAGTCTGCTTATATTACCACTGCCTCCCTATTTACATACAAGGTAACCACTTTAAGCAACAGCATCTCTGTAACCTCCACAAGCCACACTGTAGTCTTCAAGAATGAGACAGGAACCATTCTCAGATTGTCTTATTTCATTACTGCAAGAAAAGCTCTCCTCAACCTTATCAGCAACTTAGTTCCTGCAGTTCATGTACAAGGAGCCTAGCTACTGCCTTTGTAAACATAAGAAAGTTGCTGCAGTGCAATGTAATGTTCTGAAATGAGATTCAAAGATGACATCTCATGAATTTTCCTAAAACATTTCTGTTTACACTGCTAGCAGACTTTTAGTTGAATGCTGTATTTTATTTGGAACAGCGACTGACCTGAAACGCAACACCAACAATAACAATCATCATACTGACAGCCAGGTTCTTCTGCACTTGCCTTATAACACTTACCAATACCCTTGGACTGGTACCGATAGTTTTCTGAGGTTTAATACTCACCAAAATAAGATGATTTATTATTTTCAGTGTGTAACCTCAGAGACTTAATCGATCACAAAAGTTATGACTACTCCCACAGACACCAGTGTAATTTTCAATTAAAGTATCCAGAATTAAAACAATAACCTTTGAAGAAGTATCAAACTCTCCTCCTGGAGCTCCTCTCCAGGACCTCATCTTGCTGGGGTGCCTCTCCAAAGTGCCTGTACACTAATGCCCACAGCATGTGGAATGACCGCAATGAGTTACGAGCTCTGAGCGCAGTTGCAGGACCACAGTCTCCTTGGGCTCACCAAGACATGGTGGCATGGCTCCTGTTACTCGAGTGTTGCAACGGAGGGACATAGGCTCTTTAGAAAGGAGAGGAAGGGGGCCTTGCCCTTTATGTGAGAGAGAAGCTGGAGTACATGAAACTCCGCCTGGGGATGGCAGAACAACCAATGGAGAGCTTATGCATTGGGATTAAAGAGAGGGCAGGCAAAGGTGATATTGTAGGGGGCGTCTACTACAGGCCACCTGATCACGAAGAACAAACAGATCAGGCCCTCTACAGACAAATAGAAGCTGCCTCACAGTTGCAGGCCCTTGTCCTCATGGGGGACTTCAACCACCCCATTATCTCCTGGAGGAACAATACAGCATGACAGCAATCCAAGAGGTTCCTGGATTGCACTGATGATAACTTCCTCCTCCAAGTGACAGAGGAGCCCACAAAGAGAGGTGCTTTGCTGGACTTCATACTCAACAACAAGGAGGAGCTCATTCGGGATGTGAAGGTCAAAGGCAGCCTTAGCTGCAGTGACCTTGAGATGGTGGAGTTCAGGATCCTCAGGACAGGGAGGAAGATGAAAAACAAGATCACAACCCTGGACTTCAGAAGAGCAGACTGTGGCCTCTGCTTGAAGGGTCACGTGGGATATGGCCCTGGGTAGAGGGGCTCCAAGAAAGCTTCTTAATATTCAAGGATCATCCCCTCCAAGCTCAAGAGTGCTCCATCCCAATGAATATGAAGTCAGGCAAAAATGCCAGGAAGCCTACATGGATGAACAAGATGCTCCTGGCCAAACTCAAACACAAAGAGGAAGCATACAGAGGTTACCCTTCTAGGGTAACCATGGAGGAATACAGAAACATTGTCCAAGCATCCCAGGACAAAGTAAGGAAAACTAACGCCCAAATGGAATTGAATGAGGTAAGAAACAAAGGCAACAGGAAGGGCTTCTAGAATTACACAGGCAACAAAAAGATGACTAGGGAAAATGTGAGCCCATTGCTTAAGAGCCAGGGGACCTGGTTACACGAGCCACAGAAGAGGCTGAAGTACCCAATGTGTCCTTTGCCTCAGTCTTCACTCGCAAGACTGACTTTCAGGAATTCCAGGCCCCAGAGACCAGGGGGAAAGTCTGGAGCACGGAAGACATTCCCCTCGTAGAAGAGGATTAGATTAGAGAATACTTACATGAACTGGACATACGTAAGTCCATAGGCTGCGATGGAATGCACCCGTAAGTGCTGCGGGAGCTGGCAGATAACATTGCAAGGCTGCTCTCAATAATCTTTGATGAATCACAGCAACTGGGAGAGGTGCCTGAGGCCTGGAGTAAAGCAAATGTCCATCCTATCTTAAAGAAGCGTAAGAAGGAGTACCCGGGGAACTACAGGCTGGTCAGCTCACCTCGACCCCTGAAAAGGTGAGACACCCTTTCCAACCACATTAAAGACAAGAAAATCATCAAGAGTAGTCAGCGTGGCTTCACGGAGTCATTAGCATTCATGCTGATGACACAAAACTGGGAGGGGTGGCTGACACGCCAGAAGGCTGTGCCGCCTTACAGCGTGACCTGGACAGGCTGGAGAGTTGGGCAGAGAGGAACCTAATGAAATTCAACAAGGGCAAGCGTAGGGTACTGCATCTGGGGAGGAATAACCCCATGCATCAGTACAGGTTGGGGGCTGACCTCCTGGAGAGCAGCCCTGTGGAAAGGGACCTGGGAGTCCTGGTGGACAACAGGATGACCATGAGTGAGCAATGTGCCCTGGCGGCCAAGAAGGCGAATGACATCCTGGGGTGCATCAAGAAAGGTGAGGCCGCATCTGGAGTACTGTGTCCAGTTCTGGGCTCCCCGGTTCAAGAAAGACAGGGATCTGCTGCAGAGGGTTCAGCAAAGGGCTACAAAGATGATTAGGGGATTAGAACATCTCTCACATGAGGAAAGGCTGAGGGACTTGGGTCTCTTTAGTCTAGAGAAAAGACGATTGAGGGGGGATCTTATTAATACTTACAAATGCTTAAAGGGAGGGTGCCAGGGGGATGGGAACAGTCTTTTTTCAGTGGTGCCCAGTGATAGGACGAGGGATAATGGGCACAAACTTGAACATAGGAAGTTCCATCTTAACATGAGGAGGACCTTCTTTACTTTGAGGGTAGTGGAGCACTGGAACAGGCTGCCCAGAGAGGTTGTGGAGTCTCCCACTCTGGAGACATTCAAACCCGCCTGGACGCCGTCCTGTGCAACCTGTTGTAGGTGACCCTGCTCTGGCCGGGCGGTTGAACTAGATGATCTCCAGAGGTCCCTTCCAACCCTCACCATTCTGTGATTCTGTGATAGGTAAGTGATGGTGCACATTTTCGAATCATTTCTTGAGTCAGTCATGTAGTATTAATTCCTTGTACATTCTGAACCTTTGGTTTACTGATGTTGTTGGAGTGTTAATTTTGATAATACCTCATTGCCAGTTGCTTCTATGCTAAACAGTTTTTGGTTAGAATAAAGTTTCTTTTGAGTTTACCAACTGTCTAAATTTGATTTTGTGAGCCTCTGTGACAGATGGTGACTCAACCACTTTTCCAGGCAGCCTGTTCCAGTGCTTGATAACCCTTTTGGTGAGGAATTTTTTCCCAATATCAAATCTATACCTCCCCTAGTGCAACTTGAGGCCATTTCTTCTTGTACTATCACTTTTTACTTGGGAAAAGAGACCAACACCCACCTCGCTACAACCTCCTTTCACGTAGTGGTAGAGAGTGATAAGGTCTCCCCTCAGCCTCCTTTTCTGCAGGCTAAACAACCCCAGTTCTCTCAGCTGCTCCTCATAAGACTTGTTCTCCAGATCCCTCACCAGCTTCACTGCTCTTTTGCTCTTCTCTGAACACACTCCAGCACCTCAATGTCTTTCTTGTAGAGACAGGCCTGAAACTGAACACAGTATTCGAGGTGCGGCCTCACTGGTGCCAAGTACAGGGGGATGATTGCTTCCCTAGTCCTGCTGCCCACACTATTTCTGATACAAGCCAGGATGCTATTGGCCTTCCTGGCCACCTGGGCACACTGCTGGCTCTCACTCAGCTGGCTGTCGGCCAACACCCCCAGGTCCTCTTCCGCTGGGCAGCTTTCCAGCCACTCTTCCCCAAGCTTATGGAGTTGCATGGGGTTGTTGGGACAAAAGTGCAGGATCTGGCATTTAGCCTTTTTGAATCTCATACAATTGGCCTTGGCTCATTGACCCAGCTTGTCCTGATCCCCCTTGTAAAGCTTTTTGACCCTCAAGCAGATCAAGACTTCCACCCAACTTTACATCACCTGCAAACTTCCTGAGGGTACACTCAATTCCTTCGTCCAGATCATTGATAAAAATATTAAACAGAACTGCCCCAATATTGAGCCCTGGGGAACAGCACTTGTGACCAGCTGCCAATTGGATTTAACTCTGTTCACCACCACTCTTTGGGTCCAGCCATCCAGACAAGATTTTTACCCAGCGAAGAGTACATGCGTCTAAGCCACAACCAGCCAGTTTCTCCAGGAAAATGCTGTGGAAAATGGTGTCAAAGGCTTTACTGAAGTCCAGGTAAACAACATCCACAGCCTTTCCTTCATTCACTAAGCAGGTCATCTTGTCATAGAAGGAGATCAAGTTAGTTAAGCAGGACCTGCCTTTCATAAACCTATGCTGACTGGGCCTGATCATCTTGTTGTCCTGCACGTGCCATGTGACAGCATTCAAGATGATTTGCTCCACAACATTGACCCAGCACCGAGGCCATATTGACAGGCCTCTAGTTCCCCAGATCCTCCTTCCCTCCCTTCTCGTAGATGGGTGTCACATTTGCTAACCTCCAGTCAACTGAGATCTCTTTGATTAACCAGGACTGCTGATAAATGAAAACCTCATGAAGTTCAACAAGGCCAAGTGCAAGGTCCTGCACCTTGGTCAGCGCAATCCCAAGAACAAATACAGGCTGGGCAGAAAACGGATTGAGAGCAACCCTGAGAAGAACCTGGGGGTGTTGGTTGATGAGAAGCTCAACATGAGCTGGCAATGTGTGCTTGTGGCCCAGAAAGCCAACCACATCCTGGGCTGCATCAAAAGAAGCATGCCCACCAGGTCGAGGGAGGTGATTCTGCCGCTCTACTCTGCTCTGGTGAGACCCCACCAAGAGTCCTGCATCAGGCTCTGGGGCCACCAACATAAGAAGGATGTGAACCTGTTGGAGCAAGTCCAGAGAAGGGCCACAAAGGTGATCAGAGGGCTGAAACACTTCTTCTATGAAGAAAGGCTGAGAGAGTTGGGATTGTTCAGCCTAAGGAACAGAAGGTTCTGGGGAGACCTTATAGCAGCTTTTCAGTAGCTAAAGGGGACCTACAGGAAAGATGGGGAGGGACTCTTGAGCAGCAAGTGTCGTGACAGGCTCAGGGGGTAACAGTTTTAAACTGGAACATCCATTGCAGCTCTCCAGTTGTGTGAGCCACCCCGCCGTGTTTCTGTGATTGCAACTATATCATAGTTTTCCAGCTCCACAGTGGCTTTCAGCTCCTCCTGTTTGTTGCCCATGCTGCATGCATTGGTGTAGATGCACTTCATCTGGGCTATTGATCCTGCCATCTTTTGGGGGGAGAAGCCCTAGTCCCTGTGTGACTGTTCTCAGGTGTTTCTGTGGTTTCTAATGCATCAACAACTCTTATGTCTTTGCTGCTGTGTGCATCTCCATCCCCCACCTCCACTGAGATGGTGAAGGTGCTGCACATATTAGCACAGCGACATTTAAAATGTGCTCATTGTGGAGCAGACTGAAGGACTTTGCTAGCACACCGTCCCTCGAACATTGGCATGCCACTCCCAGGCTTATTTCTAGTAAACCTGGTTTTATCCTTTCCCCCCTTCAAATCTAGTTTAATGCTCTTTCAATGAGCCCTGCTAACTCCTCATATCATTTAACTTGTTGATTTCCTCAGGTGTAACTGACAGGCCACAGACTGAACCTGCATCACAAAACTCTTCCATTTGGTCTGCAGGTCTTCTTTATGAAACGGAGAAAGGTGCTTGAGCACAGACCCATGCTCTGATCCCACAGGGGGAATAGGAGAGCAGTAGTAGCTACTCCTACGGTTGGGCTGCCTTGCGCAGTCTTTTCCCTTCATCAGCAAAATAAGCAGCCCAGACCTCCAGATTTGGAAGTTCCAGTCCTACAGCAGCTACTGCTACTGTTCACCTCTATCATGTAGGCATGGAGGCCAAGTTTAGCAGCTGCAAGCAGTCTGCACCCATGAATTCTGGATTTTATACAAGCACACATCTTCACGAGCCAAAGATGAAAAGCCAGTGAAACCACAGGCTATGCTTGAAGATTTATTGCATTTAGGGTCCTGTCCTCTATCATGCAACCATGTGGAAGGATTATGCAGTAATCCTTCACTATCACTGCCTCAAAATGTTTTTCTTCTCTTTATTTCTGAACAAAACTAAAAACAATTGTTCTTCTAGTAGGGTACAGCAGCACAGCTGGAAGAAAAACAAATATTTTCTATTATTAGCTTTCTAGAAAGACATTTTACTACTGAATTATATGTTTTGACCATATTGAGCTTTCCAAATGTTAAAATATTGTATCAGTATTGGTAGAGATAAAGAAAAGATATAAGAGCTAACAGATTCTGAGATGTGACTGTCTTAAAAACTTCTAGTATACTGGCAAAGCTGAACACGGCCTGCAACATCTTAAGATATAATGATTTTCAGCTCTGCCAGTGCTGTTCTTCCTTTTAATAAACTGTAACCATTTGCCATGATACAAAATGGATTTTTTTTATAATTATATATAAAATAATATATAATATATATTAATATAGATATTATAATGTAATCTACTCTTCCTTTAACAATTTTAGTCACTTTTTCCTTGTACAACACCACGTTTTTGTTACAAATATTCTCTGTTAATGCCCATATAAGCTGCAGTTATATGAACTCTCCATAGGAAAAGAAGAGACACGATGTGAGGATAAAGGGTTTTTTTGTTTTCCCTTTTTTTCCACAAACTCGAGAGGTCAACTGAATTTTGTCTGAAGTACAACAGCTCCTGTTGTGCAGAAATCCAAAAGGAGACAAAAACCCCCCAAACATTAATTGTAGAAACTTTCTGACACTGAAAACTAACTAATCATCCATGGGTATATTGTAAAGGTTAGTAAAACAAAGCACACATTAGCTTACTTTATTTCAGGAGTAACAATTTCTGCTGCTAAACTGTCTGAAGGCTCTTGTCTTCCCAGAGGCATCAATCCTGGGTTAGGAAAAGTAAGAAATTTAGCAAGCAGATCATTAACTTTTCTCTTTAAAAGATCAGAAGTAAATAGTGTTCTAGAAGTTTACAGTTTTAGATTAATGCTAGACAATGGAACATGACACAAAGTCAGGCTACCAGCAAGACAGACAAGCACACTTTCATTAGGAGAATAATCATTATTTCTGTCTTCATCCATTTGAATGAAGTGATTTTGTGGTGTATTTTCTGCTCATTAGCTTATCTAAGAACTACAAAGCTGTGCAACATTACACATACAAATAAATTGCAACACATGAAACATCACATACACATGAGAAATACATGAGTATCTCTCTAAAGAAAATTATGTAACTACACAGAAATCTGAAATACATTACAAAAATATCACACCAGGGAGGAGACTAAAATTCCTGATTGGCTGAAATAGCATTTGTTTTCAAATGCTTACAAAGTTATGAATAGTCGGAGCAGCTTTTCACTGTTGATCTTAGAGAAGCTTAAATTTATTCTGTGATAAACATTCAATACTCTTCAGAGAAGTCCTGTAAACTTTAGAAAAGACGCATTTAATCTCCTTATTTGTCCTTTACCTGTAGTGGTGAGTTGACCCTCCTGAGCTTGTACACATCTGAGCTCTTCAATAGTTTCTTTCAAAGAATCCCTTTCTGTTCTTAATCTCTGAATAATTGGAAAGAGAATGAATATCAGTCTTGGCACTACAAATCCATCTTTAACAATACACAAGTCACAAAAGGCACAGCGTTCAACACTTTAAAAAGAATTTAATGCAACTCTAGAGATTATTTTCAAATTAAGGCATCTCACTCTATTTCGTAACAGAATAAATATAAATATTATATATACGATATGAACAGTGGTTTTTCTGAGAAGGGTTGCTGCTCTGTATTGCACTTAGGGGGGTAAAATTATCAGGGTATAAGCTTACAAAATCAAGAGATTAGTGACACAAAGTTCTCGTACCAGGTAGTAAAGAGCATTCACTGGGGCCATCCACTCAGCCATCCTCCTTTTCCCCCCTCATCGGGGCTGATTCCAAGGGAGAGGGAAGTAGACTTTTCCCTCACCAAGAAACCATCCAGGAGTGAAATAAAAAGCAGTTGAGTACACAGTCAACATAACAAACAAACTGCATTAACTTCACTTTGTTTGCCTTTCAACAGTGAAAGTGTGAGCAGCATTTCCATATGCCCTTCATCCTGTGTGTCAACTGGTCTTGCCATTCATCAGCATCTAAGCTATGGAAGAAAACTAGTTGTTGAGGCTCAGTCCAAAGAGAACTGAAGAACAGGACTGGACCACCTTGGGATCCAGACAGATGGGCTCTTCAGTAGTATCAGGCAAATACTCTCCCAATTTGGCACAAGCCTCTTTTGGCAAAAAATGAAAATCTACAGGTAGCATCAAGTTGGTTTCCAGAAGGCTGTCAAGATTAAAAAATGAAAGGAGAAAATGGCAACTATGTAAAGATTCAAGTTGTAGTTTGCTCCAAAACCAGACATGTCCAGTGTTACTAAAAGTTTCAGGACAGACCTCGGCTCTGTCTAGGTATGGAATTGTGTTAGCTGACAGCTCCTTGCATTTCATCCTATTAACAGTTTGATTCAGATATATTTTATATTTCAGCCCAAATGGATCCAGAACATGGAATCACTTTGGCAAAGAACATTTTAGTGAAGTGTGACAGAGGCTTCTGCTGTATTTCTGAATCCTGCAGGGTGAACTCTGGTGCAACTGTCAGAACAATCTGAATAAAGTGTATATTCTGTTAGCACTGAAAGTCATTTCAAAAACACCACAGGTGAAAAAACTTTTTTACCATAAATACTATAGAAGAACAGCCACCCAGAGGAGCGCTCAAACTCAGATGCTGAAAGCAAGGATTGTGCAGCCTGCTACCATCAGTCAGAAAACACTAAGCTGATTAAACAAATGCCAGACTATTTTAATGAATAGAAGAAGCTCTAGGGCTTCATTTATACACTGCAGACAAAGTCAACTCATCAAATTATCTTAGTACTTATCAAAAAACACACCACAGAGGTAAAATTCTAAGCAAGGTAGCTGAAGCTATCAAACACACTACCACACTTTGCCAGAACATAAAGCCAAGGACAAAATCAATTTCAGTAACTGTTTCCAAAGTATAACTGACAAGATACCGCTAGGGAGCTTGTGACCAGTGATGGGTAACCTTACTGATACATACGTGACAAAAGGGAACAGAAGGAGTAGGTAATACAGATAGCGAATCACTAATTCAAAGGTTGAGAGACTTCAGCTGTAATCTACTTCTCAGAGGTGCATATCTATTCAAAAGAATGTACTGAAAAACAACATCCACCCCAAAAAATGCTACTTGCCAGGGAGTAAAACAGAAAACTACATGACAACGGCCTGCAATTCAGATCCTTTGTGCAAGATGAAATGGTCCACCAAGCAATGGGTAAGCCACAGACACAACCTTACCACTGTCAAACACAACAAAACCGGAAAAACAAACTTTAAATAAAGAGCAGGAAAGCAAGGAAAAGCACAGTACGAATACATTTACCATGGGCATAACAATCTGAACTTGAAGGGCAGACGGAAGTGATACCAAGGGCAAGTGTCCACAATAGTTTGAAAATTTAATAAGATATGAAAATCAAAGACCTATGAACCGAAAATAGCTGAAAACTTTCAGTTCAAATGCTATTCAAGTGCAGGGGCTGGACATCTTGGAAAGAACTGGACAAGAGATACGACAAGGGAGGGAAAAACCTACAGAGATTCTGACCGACAGATAGACAGACTCATACTTAAAACAAGCCTAAGAAATTGCTAACTCAAAGCGCAGGCCTTGGTTTGATGTAGTTTGAGGCACCTGTGTATACGTTACTAATAAACAAGTCGAAATACACTGGTGGGAAACAATAGCGAGCAAGTGAAGTCTAAATAATCAGTCTTGGCAAGAGAGGACAGAGCAATTAATTGCAGAATCACTAGGAGCCAATGACAGCAAGGAAGGGAATAGACTGGTATCCATCCTGTGTGTTCCGTGTTGGCAGTACAACAGATCAATAAGGAGCTGTCATAAAAGGTGAGACTGCCACAAAGGACACGTCCCCCTACGTGACTCCTAAGCTTCTTGCTGCAGTACTGAGTCATGACTCCATGAAGCATACTGATGGTACCTCAAAGAATGCTTCAGAAAAAATGCAACAGGAGTTTAGTTCTACGATGATACTGCAGAAACCCTACTTTAAATAGTTTTTCAGAATACATTACAATTAGCCTGGGTGTTTATTAAACTTCTCATGGTAAATGGCCAAGAAACAACTTCAGATCCCAAATATGAAGGCTTTTCCTCTTAAAAATGGGTTGCATGTGTTTTTGTACAGTCACCTTATTCCATGCTGTATAGTTCTTAGGTTTAAAAAGGATCTTGTACACAAACATTAGAAAATTTTAAGTGAAAAGAGACTTCCTAATTTAAAAATCTTGCTGTAAATGGCTAACTATAATTACCATATCTCTGTGTTATAAAGCACAAAAAGTTGCTATCGCTACTTCCAAAAAAATAACACCTTGGCACTTACATCTTTTTCTTTTTGGAGGCTGTCTACTTTTTCTTTCAGTCGTTTGCATTCATAATCTAATTTATCAGCTTTCTTGGATTCTTCAGATAACCTGTTTTGTAGTTCAACTGCCTGTGAGAACAAGAATCAATAATTTGTCTGCAAATATTAAAACAAAATACACAAGACAAAGTAGCCAATTACCATGCACCATGAGTCATGTTGTAAACAAGTGAAATAGTTACCTATAGGACATACTAAAAACTGCTTTCATCAGTTGTTCTGTGTTTCAGCAAAATGAACAGCATTCAAATACTGGGTCTCAGCACAAGCAAAAGAAGCAAAAACTGTGAAGTATTTTCAGTACATCTTAAACCAAGCATGGTTTGCAGGAAAAAGCTATAGAGTTCTATGGCTCAAAGAGCATAGGAAAAGTAGAAAAATTCCTCCTGCATTCTGAGAAGCCTAGGAAAAAGAAAAAACTCTGAAGAAAGCAAATTATCTACACCTTTTGTTAACTCTATTTCACAAGCCTCACTCAGAATTCAACCACAAGTTTGTGCAGTCAGGTAATATTTCTTATCCTGAGATTTTCCTAATCATCTTTAATACACTAATATAATGATTCAGCCACAGGATCACAGTTTCCTTTATTTCAGAAGCAAACATTGCTAATAAAGTCGTATGTATACTTTTCACTACAGATCAGTAAAGAGCTTTTAAAATTAAATGAGCAGAAATCTGAAAACTGAGCAGAAACTATCAGTTAACAGGAGGCTAATCAGTAAAGTCTTGCCTTTTCAAAACTCTCAGCCTTTACTAGCAAAGGCTCATTCCCAGAACATTAGTAATGCAGAGAGCTTGGAAACAAGTAAGCTGAATAACGACTGACCTGCAAGCACAAAAGCTGAATGAAGACTCAGCTAAAGACATAAAGCTGCTTCTGAAGCAATTCACAAGAAGACTTTTTCATGGCTTTTAGATTACAGAGAAAGTGATTAACTTAAATTGTGAAGCAAAGCATTAAGACTGTCTAATGTTTCTAATTACCTTTTCTTTTCAATGTATATAGCGACAGCAAAATAACTACCAGGCCTAAAAATCTGCATGGTCTTAAGTCTTAGAGAAGGACCTTGCTCTTCTTGTTCTTAAATTAAAGGCTGCAAAAAAGCACAGGCCTGCCATTTCTGAGATTGACAGATTACAAAAAAAACATCAAAATGTTAGACATGAAAATATGTCATTTCTCAGATGTGACATCTATCACTGGGGCTACCAGAATAACTGCAAGTATAAAAATAAAATGCAGGCCTTCACCTGTGGTTGTTCCACCACTTGCAAAATAGGTATATTTTCACCTCAAATGGAAACAAATGCATTAATGTTTATAATCACTCATGCTATGGTAACAGTATGTAGGAAAACACAGAGGAAATAAATTGTCTTAAATCAGGACTTGGGAGTGTATAGAATGATATACAGCTACACGGTAATGCAGAAGATTAAAAAAAAAAAAAAGAACTGCCATAACATTTACTGAGCATTATCTGACATGTGGAATGAGTAGAGCAGGAATCTTGCAGCAAAGAAAATCAAGACGTACTGTTAAAAATATATCAGAATGCACATGCACAAAGGGGCTGAATTAAATCACAAAAAATAATCCTGCAATCTTCACATTTCAATTCTTCACGCTACAACAAAAAGTCTATTAGAAAATGCTTGTGCTTGCTTTCAGAAAAGTAAACAAAACCTCTTAAATAAATAAATGCTATTACATCTCTCACCACTAACCTCATCTCACAGAAACTGCTGGGTGGGGTGAAGATGCGATTTCCTTGTAGATCACTATAGGAATTTGAACCAAGCACTTTCATCTGCAGAGTACAGAGCTTCTAAGCCAAAGAAACAACTCCTCTGATAGCACCATCATGAGTGGGTTTGGATCCTTCCCACACCAGACAAGACACATTCCACTACAGGGGCACACTAGTGCTCAGCAGTGACATAACATCAGAATCCTTATACCTTGCCTAATTCTTATAGCACAATTTAGTATTCCCAGAAGTTAACTTTGTGACAGCTTATGATTTGCAGGCAGGTCTCAAAAGGAGCCCAGACTCACAGACACTGAAGGCAAACATACTGTGTGTTCATTTTGAGGCACTGTAATTAGGTGACGAAAACTCATATCCGTCATGAGACACCTGAGTTTTATTCCCGTCTCGGTCAGTGAAACAGTTTTGTATTGTAGAGGAGCTGTAGACGAACAGCTCCTCAGGCATTAAATCCTACCCATAAAACACAGTGAATGATGAAGAAAAGCAGGAGTCCTTTTGCAGCACAGCTGATGGGTCTCCCCTTTCAGAAATTCTTATTGTTAGTGAAACAAGAACGATCAGATGCAGATGTTGAGGTTACACAACTATATCACATCACAGCTGTTCAATGGAGTGAAATATTTGTTGCCAGTAAACATGATACTACTCATGTATGAAAAAAAGGCCATTGCTTTCTACATTTACTTTTCCCTTTGATTGTCTGTTATTTCAGCATTTTTCTTGTCCAACTTATTTTTTTCCGGTGGAATCATTTGGACTGTGTTTACAATTACCCCATAGAGGCTGAAGCTAGTTGTCTTAATAACTAAGATGCGCATGGAAAAAGCTACCAAGTCTTAGGGACACACATTGCTTTTGCACTTGCAATGTTGTTAGTGGTTGTTTCTGTATTTTTATTCTGCCGTAAGATGACAAATTGGGACCTCTGTGCCATGACCATTCAAGGCTATGAGCAGGCAGAAATACAGAGCAGGCACTACTACCCTAACGAACCACACTCTGTCTGGCCCTGTAACAAGAATGATGTCATGTCAATGTAGCATAGAAGCAGAGAGAAGATTAAGCTGATCTTCCACCTTTACAGAAATAGAATCACATGGCACTTTGATAAGCAGGAGGCCTTTCACTCCAGAGAGTGTGCTAGTGACACATTTTGTACCCAGATGGGTGTGTATAAAAAACAGGGAAGATATGGAACCTTCCCTCTTCATAACTGGACAAATTCAGGCATATCAGATGAACTAGAACCTTAAAAAAAAGAGAGTTACTTAGCCACAGGAATAACTTACCTTAGCTGCAGTGTGTTCCTCACTGCTGGAAATTTGTAAGTGAAAAGTGGACACTTTCTCTGAAAGAAGAGGCTCTAATTCAAGCCCAACTACTGAATACAAATTAGGAATAATTTGAGAAAAAAATTTAACATCTGTTGATTTTTTAAAAGTAAGAAATACTGCCTATTGGCAAACTAATGTAAACTTGAAATAATGATAAGAATTGCAGGAAAGGAGGCAAAGGTAGTACCTACAAAACACTGAATTCTTGTAAACACAAGGAGCTGTTTGTTCATAATTTCTTTTTTACTTTGAGGTATTAACCATGTTAGAAGAGAAAGTGTTGAACAATACAGAGAACTATTGCATCGATGATGTGTGTTCTCACCTGTCTCTTGTATGTTTCCAGCTGACTGCGTGCTGCATTGGCCTTCCTTAGTTCTTCTTCCAGGCTCACGGTATTTTGCATGTACATTGTATTCTTCTCTTCTAAGAGTTTCACTTGCCTTCGCAAATCACCCAGGTCTTCCAATTTCTTTTTGTATGACTCTACTTGGCTTTCTAACTTGGCTACTTTATCAGAAGAATGCCTGGAGGGATGGATTTGTATCAAATTTGTACTCTGAAAACTAACAAAATGCAATGTCCTGAAGCTTCCTCAATATTTTGCCTTAATGCCGAAGACATTCTGAGACATCATGGGGAGAACAAGAAAGCAATCATATGCTCCTATTCCTAATGTTTTCACTTTTAAATTGTCTTTTTCCCTTCCATAACTATTTGTCAGCTCTAAGAGTTGCTGATGAAGGTACTTTTAGACACTATCACTCTTCCTTCCTTCTTATCTGCTTCCAATGTTAAAATAATAGTTAAAGCACCTTCACTCCCACTCATTTCCTCTCAATTCTAAATTGATCCTCATTTTACAGGGTAAAGAACAACATTTTCTGCCCTTCAAATTTTTTTAATGATAGCCAGGAATAAAATCATAAAGATCTATCTCCTGAGCAGCATATACTTGATGACACGGAAGTACCATAACAGCTTTGAGCCTGAATCCTTCTTGTCCTGGTTTCAGCTGGGATAGAGGTAATTTTCTTTCTAGTAGCTGCTGTGTTTTGGATTTAGTATGAGAATAATATTGATAACACATTATTTTAGTTGTTACTAAATAATGTTTCCATTAGTCAAGGATTTTTTCAGCTTCCCTTAGAAGCCTAGAGAGAGCATAAGGAATATGGACAGCATAAGGACAAGCTGGTCAAAGAAATATTCCACACCATAAATGTCACGGTCTGTATATAAATGGGGGTTGGCCAGGGGGCAGGAAGATGATGATGATTATTATTATTATTATTTTTTCCTCTTCTGTTACTGTTCTATTAAACTGTCTTTATCTCAACCCACGGGGGTTTTTTTCCCCTCCTTTTCTCCCTCTTCTCCCAACCCTACTTGTGAGGGAGGAGGCAAATGAGCAAGCAACTGCATGGTCCTAGTTGCCAGCCGCGGTTAATCCATGACAGTTCTAAAAAAAAAAATGAAACACCAGGCTCTGTTCATAACATCCCAGAGTTTTTTCAGTCTATCTGGTGCACTGCCAGGATAGCCCTCACTCCCAATGACCCACACGCCCACTACTATTACTGTCCCCAGTTTCATTTTAGAACCAACTGATTGGCAGACTCAACTTCCTATGAAATCTGGAGAATCCTCCATTGAATTGACAGTCAATTTATGGGACATTGGGGCAAGCGAAATCTCCTGAATCTCACATAAAGTGCAGAGCCTCTCTCTGGGTCAAGGAATTACTCTTTGAACTCATGCTGCCCACACAGATAGTTTATGGAATTGTGCAGCCTCATGGGCTCATTCCTTATATTAATGACAGAGGAGGTAAAGACAGATAGCCTTGGTAGAAAGCTGCTGGTGAATTAGAAAAGGCAGTATTAAAATAAGCCTTGCTAGACTGTTCTGGATACCACATGGCAGCAAGACGCCACTACTGAAGGATTATGATCCACAGTAAAAGGGGTTTCCCTAGCCTATAAGCTCCTACCATCATCAAGTCATGAAAACTTTGGGTGCTAAAATCCAGTGGCAAAGAGAGCTGTAACAAATGTTGTTTATATTAGCATTATATGATGAAACAAAAGTGCCACCCGAAGTCCAAATAATGCAAACCCAGGAAAGGAAATGGTCTCGTTCCCTGATGAGAACAGATGACCAAGCCCTGATGAAGGGGAGTAGAGAATACTGAAGAGACCAGTGAGTGACTTGTTATCACCATAAGATGGTATAGGACTGCTAAATTTACTAATAGTTATTGATTAGGTACATAATACTAATACATAAATAATACTAATAGGTACATAATACTAATTTACTTAAGCAGAATTATGCAGTGGTCTGTGTACTTAACTGGAGGATCTGAAAGACCGTTGACATCGAGAAAGCTTTTATATTTAATATCACAATTATTTAAACAAAAGCTAATGAAGACTAAGTACACAAATTGCATAGATTAAAAGTTAATAGTTAAAAAAGGATTAAAGGAACAGAGTTTACCTGAGTACATCTATCTCATCCTTCAAAGACTGAGCCTCCTCTGCCAAGGTAGTAAGCTCTTCTGTTTGTTGTCTCAATTCGGCAATTTCCTTTTCTAGTTCTTCACAGCGTATACGATAGTCATCTTTGGCAGCTTCTAATCTGTAGAAATTAAGTCAAGCAGAAAACAATTTCTCATCTTCAGCCACAGTTACCTTTCCTGATCATCATGCTCTCTAAAAACATGTGAAACAGCCTTCTGGTGCACTGAAGGAGAACAGCAGCCCAATCAATATGCTTATTCAAAAACATAGAAGCAGATCGCATTTTTTGATGCTCCCAATTTAATATCAGTCTTTCTATTTGGAAGATCACAAGGTAATGTGTGTTCACAGAAAGAAAAATCCTGAGGTTTTTCTGGTCACAGTAATTTTTCAAAACAGAAGCTCAAGCAGAAATTTCTACCTTTTTCCTCTTGGGGCATACAGATTTTGAGCATGACATCTTTATCCTAGGACTTTGTTCAGCTGTTCAACTCCTATACACCTTCAACAATATTGACCTGATTGTCAGATACTCTAAATGCTGTATGGCTCTTCCCAAGGTGGCTTTATTTATTCACTTATAAAGAACCTGTGCCTGCCCAGTACCTCTAAAAAAACAGGTCATGGATTTAGTTACCTATTTAGTATGTAAAGAACTCAGACCAAAGTTTCTGGAGTGAACTACTTACATACAGTATACACAGGCAACGCTGCATTAACCTGGCAGTGAACAAAGGGAATAACTACGAGAAACTTTGTCAAAACATTTTGAACACATGGAAGAGCACACAACTTGGATCATGAAGTCTTATTGTCATTTTGATCTGAAATTAAAATAAAAACAATCCAGAAAAGGAGGTATGGGTATGAAAAAAGGTATTCTATCCATTAATTCAAGGAGTACAAAAGGAATCTACAAGAATGGAGATAGTCAGTAGGTCATCTAAACGATATACAACAAAGATTTGGATCGTGATAGACCAGAACTGTCAAAGAGGCCAGGCTGGGAGAAAAACTGTTGTACCACACTAGACGTCAGTTAAGCTGTACATATGTCCTGTTTGGTCAGGTAGAGCTGGAGAAGGAACACACACAAATTGCCATTAGAAACCACATGCTATGAAGTCAAGGGAAGGAGGTAAAGGACGCTGGGAGATGAGTCTCACACGTGAAAAGGGTTTAGAAAGACCTTCAGAACATGAAACTAGAGTAACAGGCAGTGCAGATATTGCATATGGGGAGAAAACCTGTTCAAACAGCAACTGGTAATAGACTGAGGTAGGAATCATTCCAGAGCATGGAAATTAATAAGGAGAGATAAAAGGGGACATATGAGAGACATCACTATGTTACTCCTTTACATGGTTAATGTATAGAAACAAGAAAACCAAAGAAAGAGAAACACTGAATGTTTTTCAAGAAATTGAAGGGAGAGGTTGTGTCTGAACATGCAGGGAAAAGGCTTAGCACAAGTAAGTGTAAAAATAGCAAAACAGGTGAAAAAGGAAAGTTACATGGCAGCTGACATAACAATTAGAAAAGGGCAACCATAAGAAGACAGAAAAAGAAGAAAAACTGCTAGTGTAAAGAAATACCATAGTTTCACTCACAAAGGATAGGGAACAAGAATGAAAAGGTGATGGTGAAATTGACCAGCTTTCTTCAGCAGAATAGGCCTACAGAGCCTGAAAGCAACAATCAAAAGGACCCGGCAAGATATTTAAAGAGGAACTGTATTTCCACGTGTCGAGGAAATGCAAGTGAAGAGCACAGCTCACTTGTGGATAATCTCCAAGTTTCAGATATGAAACAACTTATTTTTAAATTCAGAGAAGGATACACCTTGCTGTAATAACACCACCTGTAGCACTGCCCATAGCAAACTTTCAGGTAGGAATTCCTACACCTTAAAAATACAATCAGAATAATTTACATAGAGGAAAGCATGCTACTTTTCATTCTCACTGATTTTGAAAAACATGGGTGAAATGATTGCACACAAACAATTGAAAATAACTTCACAGAGTAGAGAGTGACATGCATACTGCACTTCAGCATTAAGAAACTATGCATTTTTTTTTATGGTGGAGCTTGTAAAGAGGTAAATCATAACATGTACATCACTGTAAAAACTTCACTAATGTGGTTATACCACCCAATACACTAATTCATAATTGCCACCAGGACCAGAAGTATATAAGTCATGTCTGTTGCCAGCTACAAACAAACAATCTAACCACAGAATCACAGAATGGTCAGGGTTGGAAGGGACCTCTGGAGATCACCTAGTCCAACCCCCCCGCCAGAGCAGGGTCACCTACCAAACATAGCTTTTCTACCTGAATGTTTCCTCTTGGAGTTGCTCTAGTTGTGTCTGCAGCTGCAAGTGCCTACGACCTGCAGGGCTGTTGGGATCTTCAATAGAATCAGATTGATTTAAACGTTCCATCAAAATCTGATTCTCGGCGAGCAAGCTGCTCTTCTCCTCCTGGAGGGCTGCAACCTGTTGTAATAAAAGCAGAAACTGGAATAACTGAGCTATCCAGCTATAAAGAGCAATTTTTTTTTTCGTGGGCATAATAAAGCATCAATACAACCCACAAATGGAAACACATGGGCTTCAATAATCACATTCCACAAGAATATACTGTAACATTAATAGGCATTCAATTGCTATGTGATGTAACCAACATACTGCAACATTAGGGGCAGATTTATCACTTCTTAACTGTATTTCGCACAAGCGTCTAAAGAAAAAGTCTGTTATAATAAAGTCTGCATACTTTCCCAACAAACATATAAAACTAGCACTCCACAGCAAAGCTTCTAAAATTGATTCCCAAAAGAAACGATGCCTATCAATCACACAGAATATCCAGGTCTGGATACCCAAGCGATGGCTATGCCCTTCCTAATTATTTTTTTTTTAAATAGAGTGGCCAATTGCAAGTAGACCTGAAACAGGAACACAGTCCCAAAGATGACTCAGTTTCCGCCAATGTTGTGAAAACAGGCAGTAGTGCAAAGAACCCCAAGTACTACAACTCAAACAACAGCTGAAGCATGGGTTCTTATATTATTAAATAGAATAGAATTAACATGCAGAAGGAGGAGGGGAAGAGAGGGAATGTGAACATCTCAACAGAAGGAAATGCTTCAATAAGAAGCATTAAATCATCAAATACACCAAAATCAACCATGACAAGCAAATTAGCTTCATTAATTCTAACAGTTACTGAACAGCTTGGCAAAAGCCTGAATTATACTCCAAAGTAGGGCTGCAATGGCAATGCCTTTTGGGGCTCCCACTTTACACTCCTCATGTCTTCTGGATGTGGTATGCTTGATTTACAGTAAGGCTTAGCCTAAATCCATACACAGCTGATAGACTACAGTGATTTCTAATTGAGATTTAACTCTTAACTGAACCTGTTGCAGCAGCGTAACCTCTATTAGTTCTCTAATGCAAGAGTTGAACCACACAGCTCAACTCCTTCCTACCTGAATGCAGAAAAGTTTCATTAGTATGAATCGTCTTAATACTGGCAACATTGCATCAAGGTAAGAAAACAATGAAACTCACTCTGCTAGCACAAGTAAAGCAAAATAATTATTCATCAGTTTTCATCTCCCTTTTAAAAAATATGTTTCCACACTATACTTATTGTTTTCAGCCACCTAAAAATTAACACATCTCTTTGCCACTTCCAAAATAATATGTACAATATAGCAAACCTACCTGCATATCTAATTCATGACATCTTTGGGCTATTTCTTCTTTTGTTGCTAGTGCTTCATTTAATTCTTCTGTAGTTTTCTTCAGCTACCATGAACAACAAACATTTATAGTTTCATCACTCTCTGTGAAGCGTTTAAAAATATTCTAAACTACATGACTACATAAAATTATTTCTACATTTAGGTAATATATTAAATTTTTGGAAAACTGAGGTAATTCCGTTCTTACAAAGAAACAGAAAAGCAGGTATGACTACTGTTCCATTTGTGTGACAGTAAAAAGTAAACATACCTAAAAGTAATATTTCGTCTTACAAATATGTATCAGAATTATCACATCTGTTCTATGAATTGAGTCAAAAAATCCTGAAGAACTCGGCTCTGAAGAACTCATCAACTCTATACACTGAAAAAATTGTCAATGCCACTTTTCTTTACGGATGCAAAGAGCACGTAATTTCACTTTTCAATCTACTTTTCAAATACAGAAAGGACTGGAAGGTGGAATACAGGGAATGGACAATTAAGGTAAAATCTCTCTAGTCACAGGAAGCTATTCTTAGTGCACAACAGGAATACAACTACCATGGTGAGGGAGAAGCCTACCCTTCTGAAAAAGAGCACTGACTCTTGGAAGTAGTAGGAAATATTCAGATATTTCCCTTCAAAGACTTTATGTTCAAAGATATGTATCTTGCATGTTTGCATATGAGTGCAGTTAAGATAACATTAAAAAAAAGCTATAAGAAAATTGACCTGATAAAACAAGCGCATGCATACTATGTATATAGAGATACAGATATGTATTATTATATATGGCGAATTTTAGATGGGCTTTCACAAACAGCATCATTGTATCTAATTTTTTCAAGTTTAGTTCTCAAGGGCCTGTAGACATACAGAAACAAATTTCATCTGCCAGAATTTACATACCTCTGCAGAGAAAGCATGGTAGAGGAACACAGGGAACACCACTGTACTATACTTCTCAATTAGAAAAAAAACTGAGAAAGTAGGACAGTGTTAGCATAAGGTTACGCTAATGAAAAACCAATTGGTTTTGCATATTCTTTACATATATCAGACAGGGAAGGATTCTTTTTGAAAACTTCTCTTGTATATTGTAATAGTTCCCACGACTGCTTTAAGGATTTTTGAGCCACATCTATGGGCTTTTTTTAAACTGACTTTGGAAGTAGGACCTGGCAAAGTACGTTTTATTCAAATATTGGACATTATTTTATCATTCTTTCTCAATATCCAAAAATTTGCACCAGTCTGCAGTTTTGTCTATAGCTAAACTTGTTTTCCAAATTGAGTTTTTCTCTCTTTTAAATACACAAAATGGGTAAACTCAATTTGTAAAGCAAAAGGACTTGAAATACTGAAATTTAGTTTTCCAATCCTTATTTGAATTTCCCACAAAACTGTTTCACAATTAAAAAAAAGAGAGATTTCTTAATACAGCAAAATGACTTGCTACTGATGTGCTATGATTGAAGGAAAAGAAATATCTAGTCTTAGATACCTGCCGATCAAGGTCAACGTAAGCATCATTTCCAACAGAGACTGGAGACTCTTTACTCATCAACTGCAATTAGATTACACTGGATTAGAAAAGCAAGGATTTACTTTTATATTAAAAGCTAAGCTTCAGTGAAATACCAAGCTGATTTTAACTTTTGCGAGTTTCAATCTGACTTCATTTGGAAGTTTTTAACTTCATTTTTTGTATGACATAATCAGAAACAAGTACAGAAAGAAACCTTTAGCATTTACAATGTTGAAAGCACTATTAAAGAAATCTTACATTGTCTCTTTTTCTTCTGAAAATACACATTCTTTATCTATGATGAAGCCTACAGTACACTCTGCTAAGCGTTTTGCTGAAGTGGCTTGGAATGATCGTAGCTATCAACGCAATGTGCAAGACCTGCTTTTAATTGTTCTCTGCCAGTCATTTTCATTTTCTGATCACCTGGAAGTTCAATTCAATTTATTTATTAATTTAACTAAAGTTGGGGAGCTATCTACCTCAGAGAATTGTGCAAAACAAAGACAATCAAAATCCATGCTCTGAAGTTGTCTGTAATTTGTATATTTGAAAAGAAAGTCTATAGAGAGTACTCTTGAAATGAGAATTACATTTCCTTGTATACTAACCTACTTTGTGGCAGGAATGGCTGCTAGTGGTTTTAGTCTAGAAAACACTACTTTTAGCCATGACTTTTTAAAAAAACAAAACAAAACAAAAAAGCCAAGCAGGCAAGCCCCCTACAATTTACTGATGTGGTGCTTACTGAAAGATAATAAGAAAGTAAGTTTTCTTTCAGTAACTCAGTGATCAGACACAGAGGTAGTTAAAAGTTAAATCAAACGTAACAAAAGTTGTAGCCCAAAGACCTCCTCCCCAACACACCTCCAGGTAAAGTTATTACTGAAAGTTGTAAGAGACAAAAAGGAACAGTCTTCCAAATGAGAAATATCTTGTAACTAACTCAAAAGGCAGCCTTACAGAACTGCACTGATGGTTTCTGTAATCCTGCCCAAACACAAAATGCTTTATGAATTCTCCAATGACACAATTCATGGACATTACAATCAAAAAGGCCCTACCCTAACCAAAATCAGGACAAGATTTCTTTCCTAAGGCCTCCTGTCCAACCTGGTTACTCTCTCCAGAGACAGGACTTTCTTTATTCCTTTCAGAAATCAGTGCTTTTGGATTACTTTTCACTGGCAAAATTCCTCGGATACACAGCACAGAGTTTTCATTTCTTCTCCATCCTTTCTGTTTATACCACTGTGTACAAGAGAAAAATCTGTTTGACATTTACATCATTCAAATATTTATACACTTAGTTTCTCTCCCTTTCCCCATCTCCTTAATTGGTATTTAGCCACGTATCACATGCTTAAATTAATCTATCTGTCCTTAACAGTCCTCCCAGACTTTGACGATGTTTGTTGCTAAATGCTGAATTCCTTCCATTTTGTCTACATCTTTACAATGACAAACTACTTTGAAATGAAGCATTCCATGAAGCCTAGATGCTCTGTAACAGTAATTAGAAAGTCCCTAGCCTCAGAGCTGTCCCCTGAAAAACAAAGTCACATGTCTTTTTCTTTACCATATATAGTGGCAGTACAAACTAGTATATTAATTTAGGGCCATGTTTTCTAATCTGATTATCATTTTGCCATCCAAAACAAGATTTTCCAATCCCTCTCTGCTCTGTGATGTTTATACATATTTCAGTTACTCCATTTCCCTTGCTACTGTTTAAATGCTTTCCCCGTTAATTAACGGGGATATCCATACTTAACAAATACTGAACTCTTCACCCTATTCTATATCCCACAACACTGTTCACAAGCATACTTCAGATGCTAAGTTCCACCTGTTAAGCCAGTACTTTCCAACAGCAGGTCCGAGGCTGCATGCTGCGTACAAGGGCAAACAATATGTCTCTGATAGCCACCACCCCTTTCTGGCCCTACTTACTGTAGGAAGAATACAAGAGGCCGCACAACCCACTAGAGGCCACTGTGGTATTGCTGCTTTCTGTGGATTACCATAAAGGAATAGGGCTGAGGCCTATAATTTATTCCTTTTTTTATTCTTTATTCTTCAACAGGGTTTGCCACCTCTCCCAAAACTTCCTATCCTTGAGAACCCTTAGCAGAAATGTCCAGAAAAGAGGACACTAGCTGGAGAAGAATTAGGCAGTGCAGATACATGGTGTGGGCATAGTGTGACTGTTATACAGAATTTGTGAATTTAACTCCACAGGGTGCATCAGGAACATCACGCAAGTATGCATGAGGCACTGAGGGCAAAAGCCACAGACACATATGCAGATGACTGACTCTGTGCAACAAGAGGCATTTTTCAATATTATGGCCTGTGATATTGTGAGGATGCTAAAGAAGAAATCTAAGGGATTGTGCTGCGTCCAGTAGCACAACCATACAAGGAACAGGAACAAGATTGCCAAATTACTCACATGTAATACAGGAATCCAAATTCTGCTGATCAGTTAACAATAAATTGAAGTTAAGAAGTGGGATGAAAAGGGAGAGTTATCAGGCTGAAGGAGTGCCTCCATCTTTTCCCTTTACATCTCCCCACACTTTGGAGAGGACAATGATATATGTAAGCAAATGTCTTGATTGTGCTTGGCTTCTGGACTGCCTCTACCCAGTTTCTCTCTGCTTAACAGCAAACACTTTACCAGATAACAGGGTACAACTCCACCTATCCAAACATCTCTCTGTTTAATAAGATTTCCTGAAAAATTCAAGAAAAGTTTTACAGAATGCTGTTTTAGGACTCCATACAGATACGTATGCCAACTCAAAACACACACTACGCCTTCCATCCACCTAAAAAATGTAACACACTTGCCTAGTTTCCCCTATTCTTCACTTTGTTTCTTGTCAATCAGCATTCTCTGCTACTATTGAAGCTTAGAGCTCCAAAATGCTAATTTCATCAGTTACTTGCTCAATGGCATATTAACTCTTTCTGCATCATTTATTACTAAACTGATGATACTAGTATGTTATTAATCTTTAAAGCAAATTTCCTTACTGTGTTCTGCTATGTATCTCCTTTAGTTACAAGCTCACATTCAGACAAATTCCTGAAATACTGCTGTAGCCTCAGTGCTTCACATGCAACTTGCAAGTGATATATTAGAAGGCCTGATCTTGAGAGGTATGGGTCAATGCCAATACTTTTGTGTTTAGAGTGGTAAGCTTTATTTCATTTGTATTTCAATTGGGTGACTCAAGAGAATCAAAAGCAGAAGGAAGTGGCCTTCTCATTTTCCCTCCACAGCTGCAAGTTTGGTTTCCTCAGGAGCAAACTACAGGTGAGCATAAAGCTCTGCCCTCACAATTTAGCAGCACTAGAACTGGTTTTCAGCTCCAGACTCACAATTTAGCTTAAGTATAGTATTATAATCTATTTTCACATGTACCTTTAACAGATGATGATGTGCAGAGATTTTAAAAGTGAATTGATTATAAAAAGGGAAATCAAAAAAGTTTCTGCAAAATCAAGTAATTGCATTAGGCCTTTACAGTAGAAGGAAAAGTCTGCTTAAGAGCTTCCCACGGTGAAAAAGTAAGCAACTACCATTTACTTCCTTCCCCTTTTTCTGGTTTATTTTTCATATTTAGAATGAAAACTTGAAGTAGCATAAGTAATTTTTCAAGTAACCAAAGTGTCATTTAAAATCAAAAGAGCTTATTTTGTGGTCAAGAAGTAAGTCTGGATTTTACATGGTACAATACGCTGGACAATACGACAATTTTTATAATTCTTTGTCTAGTTTTATGAGAAGCAGTTGTCATTCTGGGTTAATCCTTTACAGCTATACATTTTCATGCTCATAGCTTTGGTACAATGTCTTACAAAATACTTGTAGATCTGCTAATTTTATATTATTAAAACCTTCACTTTTTAACTGCTTTACTTGTGAAACGCGAACAAGTTGTGTTGTCATGGATACATAAAGATTAGAGATGGGGTAAAACTATCACAAAATCTGCATGCATGAATAACCTGAAGTATGAATGCCTTTTTTTCCCCTACACAATTTGCATGAATTTGCAAATGCAGCTGCACCACTTAGTTGATGATGTTAAAAGCTCAATTTATTTCCTTTATCTGAAATGCTTCCTCTACAGTTGCTAATATTGTACAAGCTCATTTAAGTGTCCGTGAAACAGTGGCAAATCCAGCTTCTGTATTCAGAAAGGTGGGTTTTTTTGTTTTTAAAGGCATTATTTGTTTGTTTGCCTTTTAAGAGTCTATGCTATGTATGACACAGTCCTTTAATGCAAGTGGACTTTCTTCTTCCTCCAGACCCAAGGAAATATATTTCTATCATTTCCTAGCTATTCAAAAGCCACTTTTACTTCAGGTAAGATGAACCTTTAAACAGTCAGGACAAAATAGAGGGGGAGAAAAAAAAACAAACAAACAACAACAAAAAACCACAAAACCAAACAACTTCTACTTTGTGGGAGTAACACAGTTGGTATTAATCCAGACAGGAAGTATCTTCTGCTGTACACCCCAGGCAAGTTTTGACGCTGCTTCTAGTACTTTGCTGTTAAAAGCCTATTCTGACTCTCAGTATGACCTGCACTTACACCTGCTAAGTGATCAAGTTTACAGATGTTCTAAACAGCAAAGGCAAACAATTTCCTCAGCTACAACTCATCAATAATGAACTTGGCTGCTCAAAGAAAAGACTTGGAAAATGACAGCAGAATTTCCAAAGGATGCCAAGGAAAGGAAAGAGAAATACATTGTGGCCAAAATAATTTCTGTAAGGAAAGACTTTTGGCGTTTTAAAAAAAAATCTGCAAGTTATGAAATTAAAATTATACATAGTAATATATTAATTGCAAGTAATAATAAATTATAATAACATAGACAGAATATAGTACTTTATATTACAGAGTATACAATACCATACATAACTTATAATTACAAGTAATATTTTTTGCAATATTTTTGACAGCTATATCATTCTTGCTCTTCTTCTATCTTGTGCACAGCTTGCATTTAAATGCACACCTGCAGATCAGAATCTAAGAATCTAGGTGGTGGCAACACACCAGATCAATTTGGCTGTACTGAAAAAAATAACAGAAAAGCGTTGTTCAATTTATAAAACTTTTATGGAGCAAGACATATATTTTATTATTAATATTTTATTTTAAACATTTAAATATGCGAAGAAAGGAAATGCTGAAGAGTCATTATTAAAAAAATTGAAATAATATAATAAAATTTAAAACATAAAATGCTTCTTCCGTTTAAAAATCAGCTTCATGCAAAAAACAGAGAAAACAGGGCAGACGCTTGTTCTACTGTGCCTCATGAAATATTTTCATGAGTAAGATGACTTATGAAAACCAAAGAAGTATCAAAAAACATTTATATGTGCTCTGCTGAAACAGAAAAATTAATTACATAATACCTCAGCAAAGCTTAGAGAGGTCATTTTACACACCTGATTTTGAAGAAAGACTACCTGCATGTCAAATGGTTTGAAATGTTCAGATTAGGTGACATACCAACTTTTCAAATGTGAATATATAGCTATTTTCCAAGACACTTTATTTTGGTCCCTCCTACATATTGTTCAGTCCAAGTCACTTGGATTCTGAGAGCTGCTCTGAGTCCAAGAAATAGAAAGACCTCCTTAAATCCAGTGATGTTTCACCCATCCAAAGATAGAGACTGCAGGTGCAGTTGTGAAAATACCCTTTAGATCTAAACTCATGACAGAATCATAGCATATTTAAAGTTGCAAGGGACCCATAAGGATCATTGAGTCCAACTCACTGGTCCTTGCTGGACTACCTAAAACTAAACCATATGACTAAGAGCATCATCCAGATGATCCTTGAACTTCTGACAGGCTTGGTGCCATCACCACTTCTCTAGGGAGCCTGTTCCAGTGACCTACTGCCCCCTCAGTGAAGAACTTTTTCCTAATGTCCAATCTGAACTTCTCCTGATGCAGCTTCACACCATTCCCCCTCCCATCCTGTCACTAGTCACCAGAGAGAGATCAGCACCTCCCCCTCTACTGCGTGCCTTGAGGAAGCCATAGACTGTGATGATGGCACCCCTCAGCCTTCTTTTTGCCGAGCTGAACAAACCAAGTGATCTCAACCGCTGCTCGTAAGTCTTGCCCCCAAGATATTTCACCATCTTGGCTGCTCTTCTCCAGATACACTCTAACAGTCTGGTGTCCTTCTTATATCGAGGCACCCAAAACTGCACAGAGTACTTGAGGTGAGGCTTCACCAGTGCAGTACAGACTGGGACAACTGCTCCCCTCAGCCAGCTAGCTATGCTATGCTTGATGCACACCAGGACATGGTTGGCCCTTTTGGCTGCCAGGGCACAATTTTGACTCATATTCAACTTGCCATCATCAACCTAAAACCCCAGATTTCTTTGCACAGGGCTGCTCTCCAGCCTCTCGTGCCCCAATTTCTACATATAACCTGGATTACCCCGTCCTAGATGGAGAATCCAGCACTTGCTCTTGTTGAACTTCAAATGGTTGGTGACTGCCCAGGTCTTTAGTCTATCCAGATCTCCCTCTAAGGGAGGGAGATCTACCCTTGAGGGAGTCCACAGCTTCTCCTAATTTAGTATCATTGGCAAACTTCCTTAATATACATCGGATTCTTGTGTCCAGATCATTTATAAAAACATTAAAGAGCACTGGCCCTAAAATTGACCCTGGGAGAACCCCACTGGTGACTGGTTGCCAGCCTGATGTAATCTCTATATAACCATAACTCTTTGAGCCTGACCCGTGAGTAAATTGCTCACACAGGGTATTATGGACTTATCTAAATGTATGTTGGACATTTTGTCCAGAAGGATACTGTGAGACAGTATCAAAAGCTTTGCTAAAATAGAAAAAACCCACATCTACTCACTCCCCTTGGTCAACTAGACAGGTGACCTTGTCATATGAGGAAATTAAGCAGCACTTTCCCCTTGTGAACCTGCACTGGCTATGACCAATGACTGCACTGCCTTTTGAGTGTTTTACAGTAACTCCCAGAATAACCTTCTCCATAATTTTGTGAGGCACTGAAGTGAGACAGGCCTGTAATTACCAGGGTCTTCCTTCTTTCCCTTCTTGAAAACTGGGACAACCTTTGCCACCTTCTAGTTGACTGAGACCTCTCCAGACTCCCAAGACCATTGAAAAATAATGGAGGGAGGTCCCACTCTCAAAGTGTCTCTAAGTTTTGGAGACACTTTTTGGCCTCTTCACTGCGCACCTGAGACCCTCCTCATGTGGTTCTAAATGCCTTCGATTTCTAAGCAACTTGGAAGGTAGTATTAAAATCACTTAGAACTGCACCAGTATCTGAATAGTAAGCTTTTTGATTGACTGAGTTTCAAAAATCTGTTCCAGAAGAACAGACCCTGTGATTTCTCCCCACTTATACTCCTCATCCCTGAGAAAGAGCACAAACATTAAGCAAGCTGAATGCCCACTCATGAAATCCCCAAAATTGTGGGCTGCTTCAGATCTGGCTATTTTATCAAATGAAGGACATTTTTACAAAAATCAAACAGGAGATTTTCAACAGAAGGAGGGAGAATAAGAAAAGGTTTACTATTTAACGGCAGTGCAGAATAAAGCAATGCTGAAAGTTGGGTTTAATAAAAGAGGACATCAGAAAAATCCACCAAAACATTGTATTACAGTTAAAAAGAATGCAAAAGTAAAATATCCCAAAACTCAGGGAAACTGGTGCTTGGCAGCACAGACTGGAAGATGATTTAGAACAGGATTCTTTCAATGCTCATTTCAAAAGGCCTCTCTGCAATGTTACAGATAGCAGTCCACACACAGACAACAGGATGTCTGACAGCATGGACAGCGCATTGGTCAAAGTTGTAACAGGGAACGGGGTCCCTGTAGGCTCACTGACATCTCTTTTTCTGTTCAGACATTACAAAAAAGTGTAATTGCTCTAGAGCTCAATGCAGAATTTAGCTTCTCTTGTTCAGGTTCAGAAGAAATGGGATTACCAGCGATTTCCTGCTTTCCTTAGTGGCCTGCCCTATAGTAAATCCCCATCTATGAAGACTGATAGGCACTTCACTTATAGGCACTGCAGGCACTTAAGAAGTCACATAGGGGCTTCATGGCTATAGTGGTAACTAAAATCATGGCTTAATTTTCACTGTAGTTTTAATTTACTACTGAACAGCACTTTTACAAAATAGTTTACTTACTAACTTGTAAAAATGTATTAAGGACAAATACCTTCATTAGGCTATTTGTAACACTACAGCTAACAAAAAAATACTCTGCTATCCATCTCCCTTTCTGTTCACTTGTCCAGTAAAAAAAATAAACAAATTAACAGTTCATGGAGTTTTACAATTTCAAGGTACAAATTTTGAAGAAATTCTACAGTATTTGGTTGGTCACGTAAAAGCAAGTCTAGTGCACTTCAGGAGCTACAGGGTAGGAAAGGTAAAGGAAAGGGAACCCAGTATCAAAAATACCTAGAAGTTTTAATCTTCTAGATTTAAAGAAAAGTGGGACATTCAACCAGAGTTCCTCGACATAAAGCAAGCTTTACTGATTTTTTTTCCTAAGGAAAAATAAAGATATTTATCAATGTAACATGGCAAAATCTATGCCCCTTATTTTCTTCACTTCCAACTAAGTTTTTCCAAAGTGGGAAGAGGCATACTTTTGTAAAATACTGAAAGGCTGAACTTTCACACACTGTGGGCATCCCAGCATACCTCCTGAATGGCTGTCATGACAACATGTTGAACCGATTCTTCCATCATCATTATGGTCTGGATGTACTCTGAAAATAAGAGCATTCTGAAATGTTACTGTTGAAACTAAAGTCACACAGAATATGAAGTCAGAAGCTGCAACCTTCCTACAAAATAACAAGGTGCCACAGATGACACTGAAATGCATAATTACAAGTCAAGTCCGACCCCAACAAACTCAACAAGACTTTTCCAGAAGTCTGTTCAGACATAAATACAGCCTGATTGGAACTCTGCAACCATGAAAAAAGTACATGACTGTCATTCGCTTTTTTCCTTCTGGCATCTCACACTTCTGAAATAACTATTTATACTCCTTTTCTCACTTTGTTCCCAAACTATTCAGGCTATACAAACATATGATCCACACAGAGGCTGTCCTTTTCCGTAAGTTTAACAATAATGTCCTGCCTTCCTACAGCATCCTCATTTCAAGGTATTTTCACATCCATTCTTGGTTTCTGTTCTTATTTCTGTGCTATAACACAAAGTCCTCTCCACTTTTTCCTTCCTCACCTATGTGTATATGTGAGCTATGAAACAGGTACCTTGTAAGATGATACAGTGGTTAGAAGGACAAATTCTGACATTTCGAGCAAGTCAAGGAGTTTATGATTTGTGCGGTATCATATGGTTTCTAGTCAGGTGTGAACACCTTTACATGAGACCTGTATTCTTTTAGTTATTTGCCCAAGAGGAAGATGCTGGGAATCAGTCACCTCAAAGTGATTAATTAGGGCATGCCAAGTCCCATCAAAGTACATAAAACTAGACTGTTCCAATATTTCAAACATGTACACTTCTAATGTCCAGACTGAAAGAGTAAGAGAAACATAGGTATAAGATATACTTGCTATTTGAGCATCCCGAATAATCACCAAAAGGAAGGAAGGTAATTTTACATAAAACAGAGAAGACAGGAGGCCTAATGAAACAGTTATTTATGTACTCATAGAAGAAAATTACCTCTATTTTAATTAATACAATAGCCAAGCTGTCTCCTGGTTAAGGGAAGGATAAAAGTAATTTCAGAAGGAGAAATTAAAGTGATTTAGACACCTGAGAAAACTGGAAAGGGGAAACTAGCTGTTAAAGCTAAAATGCACCATGCAAGAGGAAGACAAAAGGTCCAAAACCCTGTTGCCATTTTGTCAGAAGGGAAAACAAAATGAGTTAAATCAGGAAGAGACATTCATTTGATGCAACTTTAATGTAAATACAGTAAACAGGTTTATTTACCCACATGTGTATTCTATAAACATGTTCCTATGCTTCCTAAGTGTTAAGAATAAATCTTTGTAGTTGCTTTGTTAACTTAACTTGGCGTGAATTAAGTATAATTTAAGGCAACTGAGTAACAATAAGACACCTCGCACCCAAAGCAAGTTTAGAGCATGAGATTTGGGGTACTTCAACATGCGTCTCCATTGTTCATCACATCCTCTCTGGCCTCTGCAGAAAAAATGAATGGATCCCTATTTTACCTGTGGAGGTCGGATAGACAGTTGGTCCCATGGGAGTCAAGAGAGGCAAAAGTCTTTTTCAGTGACTGTTGAATTGGGATTCAATCGCCTAACAGATGCCTCACATGACATTTTGGATGCCTTAAGGTATCATGCTCGGTCTTCAGCTGAAGGGCATAGTTGCCAACCCCATGCAAAAGTCTCAGAAACTGCAGTATCCCAAATGATGCCAGACATATCTTCAGACCAACGCCCAGTCATAATTATGGCTCTTGGCCATGTACTAAGATGCTAACTGGAATACATTCCTAAAATCATGAGTCACAAAGAATAGTGCAACAATCACATTTTTTGATTCTCAACTATCCCAACATGCCTCATAAATGGTTAAAGGGTGGGCCCGAGATTTTTTTTCTTTCTAGAGTGCCTTTTCAGCTCAGCAAACAAAAATTGAAAATATGTATGTTTGAACCAAAACCACTTCCACAGTTTGAGACTCCCAAACTAGTGAAGCTTTAAAAAAAACAACAGTTATTATGACAAAATAATGTCCTGAAAAAAAATACATTTGTCTCTGACAGAAACCCGAGAAATATAATTTTTCCCCTAAGTAGTTACACAACAAGCTGGATTTTCATTCGCTGCCCAGGAGAAAACATGCTTTCAAAATTTAGTACCTTGCTTCTGTTCACAATTCACAGCGCATCCCAAAATAAGCTGAAGCATTCTCCCAAGCTCTGCAGCATCAGCATGCTCTCCAATCAGGTTAACATCAGGAAGGGTGAAGTCATTAATCTGTTGCCCCAGAATCTGCATAAAGACCCAGTGCATACATACCTGTATCACTACACATATACATACACACACATTTCAAAATGTAAAGTTGATAATAACAAGAGCAATTAACTCATACTTTAACATAGTTGTCAATCCACCTTTAAAACAAACTAAATTGCCTAACACCTAACATCCAAATACTAAAACATACTACTTGACACAAATAATACTTGAGAGAAAACAAATAAACTGTCTCAACTAACAGGCAACTATTACTTCCAAACTTAGCAAGATTTTTTTCTTGAGTTAAGAAAGGTAACAAAGGCAGGCTTCCACAGTAATCAACAATACATGGATAATGAGGTTTTTTCTTCTAAAGCATTCCACTAAAAAAAATCTAATACCTAAAAACACCTTCTGTAGAGTAAAATATTATACACAAATCTCACATTTCTTACCACTAAAAAGCCAGAAATTGAAATAATTCATTTATACATGGGTCTAGCACTGATGGATGGCAAATATAAGACAGTAAAAAACTCCATCACTCAGCCTTATACTTTTAGAAAATTTAGGGTTATTTAGCAAGTCTCAGAGCTAAGAAAGCTGGTTCCATGGAAGAGAATTTGAGGTAGTAGTGCAATACATAATTAAACAGCCCACATGCAGAAAGAAAAACAAAACAAAACAAAACAAAAAAAACCCCATGTGACTTACAATTAATGTTATCTGATTTATAATTAAGAAGGATTTACATTAATGATTGTCAGTAGAAGGAATTAAACAATTCTGCTAGATTGTTCATAAAGTGCTTTCAGGGGGCTGAAAATATGAACATGAAATATGGAATTAAACACATCTCTGACACATTAATTGCAGATAAAAAGAAACTGTCACTTCTTAAGCAAGGTGCAATAAAGAAACAATGACTATGGAAGGAATCAGTCATTTGTTTGCTGGATGCCCTTTTTTGTGTTAATACTCAAGAAAAACAGAAAATCAGGTAAAGGTATTTATAAAAAACATTTAACAGATGTATATGAAGAATACATGGAATCAAGCCATTCAAAAGTTTTGCAGGGTTAGACTTCGTGGAATTGTGGTTGAGTTTGTTCTTGTTTTGAATGGTGTTTTTTGTATTGTGGCATTATTTTTTTTTTATACAGGTTTCTCAAAGAACAAGCACCAACACCACTAAAAATCTCTGTATACTTTAAAGGACCCACATTCATTCCTGTTGGAAAAGACTTCCTTTAGGTCATTCTAGAGAGAAAATAAGAGTTCTGTGAATGCATCAAGGATAATGGAAAACATTACCATTGTATATAGACTGTGATAATACAGTAAAACACCATATTCTTTGAATTATACAAATCTGATATATGTCTATATATTGATCTGCAGTTCCTGAATTTCTTTCAAATGCAACGCCGGATTTAAGTTAGTGATACTACCATGGCTTCATAGTTACTGATAACTGCTGTTGAAGAAAGCTAAAGAGAAGAGAGATATCAGCAGGCACTATGAAGCAGCCAAGGATGAGAAGGTGTAAACAGAAGACTTTGAAATAAACATGAGATACAATTTTATTTAAAAAAAAAAAAATGAAAAAAACATAAATATGAAGGATAGACTCCGAAATAAATATCTTGAGATGAAAAGGAGCATTTTTCCCTCTTTTTTAAAAAAATAAATATAAAAGACCTTTACAAAACATGGAAGTTTCCATTCCAGACCAGCAGAGTTCTGCAGCAAGATTACTGGGGCACAACAAAGCATGCAAGCTATAAACAGGTAACTTTGGCTTCTTGTTCTTCCATACTATATTTGACAAAGACAGCAATTTAGGATAGCTATTGAAAGATTGTTCTCCTGAATGTGATACAAATTTTTTAATTTTTGAAGTTATCGGAATTAGCATACACATTTTTCAAAGGCTTTTAGCTACGTCAGGTAAAATCCATATACATTCACATCTATATATTTTTTTAGAAGGTGACTGCTAGGAGAGGGAATCGGGTTGAAGAAAACATAACCAGGATTCAATCCAGATCATTTCCATTATCACCACAAGCATTGCCTCAGCAGAAAAAACAGAAACCAAACCAAAATCCAGTCAAACTTATAAATGTACATTACCTTTGCAGAACTTAATCAGCTTGAAACAGCTCAAAACTTGCTTAGTAGTAAAGTTTTCACACCAGAAACTTAATCATCATATATACCAACTATCCGAAAAGAAGCTGGCATCACTTTGTCACAGTAATATTAATTTTCTGTAACAAAAAACTTATTTGTTTCTTTCTAGAATTGTCAGTTATGACCAGCTTGCTTAGCCATCAATTTTCAAAATTTATTTCAACATGGATGCCTGACCATTTACTGATTACAAGCTTATGAGTTTTTTTCTTTCTAAAAATATGTTAATTTTTAAAGATTTAAGTTTATTAACAAACATCTTCCTCTCCAAAGTATTTATATATCTTCCTCTCCCAACAGCTAAAAATACTCTTTACACTCTCTCCTTAAAAAAAAAAAAAGAAATGGGTATTTTTTTTCTGGAGCAGAGGAGAAAAAAAAATAAATTAAACACAGGTACTGTTAAAGTCCGTCACAAGGACATAGTCAGCAAAGACATCTACTGTTTGTATGACAGAATTTGCACATCAGACTACTATGGAAGCTCTGAGTATTCAGTAAAGCAGGTGAGAAGTTCTAGAGAAGGCTAACACCTTACAACAGGCCATGAAACACTCTGTATGCCAGATACTTTGCAATAAAAATTCAGAAATTAAATCAGTAGAATATACCTTACACTAAACAAGTTAACTAAAATATGTAACACAAAGGGACCGAGATGTAGGTTACTTAAAATGGTTCTTACCTCATGGTTGTAATCCAATATTCCTTTTAAGATTTTCTTCAGGTTGCTTACCTATTTGACAAGAAGGAGGAAATCAAATAAATGCAGGGAATAAATTAGAGAACTGATCATAAAAGAAGCAATCACAGAAGAATCACACAAAAGAATCATACAGTTATGTCTATTTGTACAATGAGACTTCTGTTTGAGCAGTTAAATTTAGAATCATGAAAGTTATGCAAGAGTCCCTTATGATCAGACTTCCAGAACTGATGACAAATCTTCATTAATTGAGAGAAACCCATTTAAATTTATGAAAAAGATCACATTGTCTTAGGTAGGCTTTAGATCAGACTATGAAGCAGGAATCTTTTTTGGAGTACTTGTTTCTTTTCGGATTATTTTTGTATCCAGAATTTGAAACATTCTTTTCCTCCTTTCTTCTCTTAAAGTATTCTAGAGATCTACTTTCTGCAGAGACAAACGTCTTCTTCCAAACCAAAACCAGCTGCTGCTCAATATCCTCCTTTATTCCCAACCTATGTAAGCTTAGTTTGTTAACCTTTTCATTAATTATTCCTCTTAGTTCTTTCATTTTTGTTCATCCCCCCATAACAGTTCTTTACAACTGAATGTCTGTATCAAGGCAAAATTCACATTTCTCAGTGATGCCTTCACTGCCACACAAAGATAGCATCTCTTGACTTGCATAAAAAATAGCATCACTTAAGTGTCTCCTGCTGTATAGAATCTATGACACACTTCTCTGAGTACTGCTCCTTTTCTGGCAAAAATCCATTTACATCAAGACTCGGAGATCAAGAGCATATTTAAAAATTATAAAAATGCCCAATGGATCTCACAAGTGATAGTTAGGAAAAAAAAAAAAAAAGAAATCTTTGCTGAAAGTAACTGCTACAGATTCCCACCAATTGCTGTCCCAGTATTTAAGCAAGGAATTCAGATAATAGTAGCAGCGCACTGTCTCCTGTGATGGAGGAGTGGCTGAAGGAAGTGGGGTTGTTTAGTCCGGAGAAAAGGAGGCTGAGGGGAGACCTTATCACTCTCTACAGCTACCTGAAAGGAGGTTGTAGCAAGGTGGGGGTCAGCCTTTTCTTCCAAGTAACAAGTGATAGAATGAGAGGCCTCAAGTTGTGCCAGGGGAGGTATAGATTGGATATTAGGAAAAATTTCTTCACCAAAAGGGTTATCAAGCACTGGAACAGGCTGCCCAGGGACATGGTTGGGTCACTGTCCCTGGAGGTATTTAAAAGACGTGTAGATGTGGTGCTTAGGAACATGGTTTAGTGGTGGACTTGGCAGTGTTAGGTTTACGGATAGACTCAATGATCTTAAGGGTCTTTTCCAATGTAAATGGTTCTATGATTCTATGAAGTCTATACACTGTTTCTGCAGAGACTGAACCTGACTGAATTAGGATTCACAAAATGCTGTTACTGACAACAGTAGCCAAAGCAAGAAACTGTGGAACTCTAATGAAGGAAGAGCAAAAATTCTCAAATCCCAACTGTCTTTAAAGCCCACAATAACTTCCATATTCTTGACTACATTCCAAAAATATCCAGCTAGGAGATTCTGTCCACTGACAGAAGTCACCTATCTTCCAAAAGATCTGAGGAAACACTACAGAAAACAGTTAGGAAATATGGTACTGAAATCCAGCGACAAACTCAACACTTCAACACAGTCAACAGACAAAATGAGGTAATGAAAGCGAAATCACATCTCTTTTCTAAGAGAAACTCAAGACAGGAACAGCCTACACACACATTAAAAGATTTAGCCATGAAATCCAAAGTGATAATGACTTGATTACCTGATTCGTATTAATCCATTCCCTTTTGGAAACAAGTAGTAAAAGGTGAACACTTATTAAGACATAAGTATGGTGGTTTGAAAAAACCTGATGGTTTTCAAAATCACTGAACTTTACATCATACAAGAAACAAAAATTCACTTGGACTTGAAAAGTGACACATTGAATAGTCTGACAACTTAGAATGAGAACTGCAGATGATACATTCTAGCAAGTATATAACAACATTTACTGTCCCTCTCATAACAACATAATATCTAGTTTACTTTCAGGTTTACACCTTCCAATTACAAACACATACTATTTCTGTAATATTACACATAACGCATCACGTTTCTGTAAGAACTACAACTATCTTGTAGCTGTCTGCCCAAAAGCAATCACCACCACCAAAGGCTATGCACAATCATAACCAAAGTCTGCAACAGATTTAAGAATTTGAAGAAAGGTAAATAATTTTATTTTGATGTCAAATCACCACAAAGAATGCTACACTGATTGGAATAGAATTTGCAAACTTGATTCATCAAAATCTTCTGGTTTGTAATTTACCTGAGTCTCCTGCAGAAAGTGCCCCAGAAATGCAAAGGCCGTGTTGCAGAATTTAAGTCCAGTTTACCGATAAGAACATTGTGAGGAACCTTGAACTTGAACATAACCCCAAAAAATGAGAAACAACATGGAAAGTACCCACCTACAAACTACTTCTTTTCCCCTCTCCTTGTAAGCATTGTTTAAACTAAGATCCCTTAAACACAAAAAAATCATCTTCCTCCATAAAACTTTCATAGAGCGTATACTTGAGATGCTGGAACAAAAATCAATATTGATCAAAATCTGTCATCAAAACTAACATATAGAGCAGCATCCTCAGAGAAAGAAAACAGCAAACAAACAAAAAAAAAATCTAGCCTTTGAGGTCCTATTTTATTCTACTGTCAATCAGCAATACTAAGATAACTTGCTTTCAAGAGTTAACTATACCATCTTTGTATCTGGCACACAATCAGACAATTAATTATAAAGCTAAAGCAGCTTCTTTATAGACCGGCTTATACTTAACAATGATCTTCAGTATTACTTGGAGGGCTCTCAATTATTATTTTTTTTTAAATTTATCTGCACTTAGATGATTCTACCACCACTGGCAAAGAATCATCATGGGGAAACTACCACAAATGTTTTCTACTTTGAGATTCAACTCAGTAGCTCCAGTAACATTCGTTACATAAATTCTTAAAAGGAATACTTCAAACAGATGAATGAAAACGAACAACAGCACAAGAAAGTGTTAAAGACAACTAATTACATCAGAATTCTAAAGCACAGCAGGTGATTGTTGTTCAGATTTTTTTTTCTCTTTTTCTTAAGCACACAGGGAAAACCTAACTGTAACTAGTTAACAAAGACCACTGAATCATGCAATGACAGAACACAACAAATAGAATTTCCAAGATTGATCATGACTACAAAGCACCGTATTTTCCTTTGGAGATCAGCCCACAATCACATGGGATGCTTATTTGCTTGCATCAGCAACACAACTTCCTCCTTTTCCATACAAAGCATGTACACTACCTTCCCAATCTGTTTCACATCCATTCCCTGTACCCACACCTCTGTTGGAAAAAGACACAAAACTTACTGATAAAAAAAATAGTCACAACTATGCTTTACTCCACTTCAAAAGTTGTTGCAACTCACAATAGATGAATTACTATTTCTAGATGAATCTCTATTCAATCTCTTCTCCATCTGCCATTTCCTGTTTTATTTCCCCAATCTCATACTACCAAGGAGAGGATATCTGCTTTGAACTAAAGGCAACCTGCATGTTATCATTCATTCTTTGAATCAACAGCAGAGATGTGTGGATATTCCTTATGTTAAATGATCAATTACCCTTTCAGTTTACAGCCATCTTGGCAGTAAGTAAGTACTACGCAGTTAATACACACTGTCCAGTATGAGAATAACCCTTATTACACAGCATTAAACTGATAAACTGACGAGAATGAAAGTAGAGATGATGTGTCCTGAGTTACTGAAGGCAACACATGATCTGGCAACACTGTATGACTTAATGTTTGTGGTGTTTTTCTCCTATTTTTTCCCCCCATCTGTCATATGAAATCTCTATTTTTATTTAATTACAATCTACTTACAGGTTGCAAACTGAGGGTCTGTAAGGGTAATCCATCAGATTTCTCTCTTTATGAATATACTTGAGCAACAAAATGAAAGCCTGATGAAGTAGACAGTAGAAATGCCCTTAAGTTTGTGACTGCTGACAAAAAGAGAACATGGCTTATCCCATCTCTTGTTTTCTCTCTAATATTATAACAGCCAGTCCCCAACTTTGCATTTATCATTATATCACATGTATGGTGGAAGTCCTGTTTGTGCTGAAGACTTTGTGTCAACTGACCTACCCTTGTACATTTCAGGTCCTGAAGTGTCTCAATGGGAACCTCGATGTTCTGAAATATTGTTCAACACTATCTTTCTCAACTATTTTCTTGGTCCTTTGTTCAATTTTCTCAGACATTTTCTAGGTGTTCTCAGCCATTTTTTTTGTTTTCTTGGCCAGCTTTTCCACAGCTGCCACAGTGAATGGACGAGACAGACTGTCTTCATACTGTCATACTTCATTAACCACTTCATTTACAGTTGGTGTGTTGGCATCAGATCCTCCCTAGACCATTGTTGACAATGTGTGGGAGTACGTTGATGGTGCACTTTGTACAAACTTTTTAGTGTAGATCGTTTGCATGGCATTTCATCAGTGTCTACAATCACTTACCAGTCACTATAAATCACCTCTCGCACAGCCAGTTCCCTCAGGTACTTAATACCTCTCTCCATGCTGGTCCGTTTGCTTGGATAGCATTTGATACCATCCTTAAAGGAACACCTGTGCTGTACAGATGACACCAGTTGCCTCCAGAGACTGAGAGTGCTTGTCTTTCTCCCAACCCCTTTATCGCTACCTCGGCCCCTGGTCAGGTTTCCCAACTGACTAGCTTCTCTGCCATCTAAGTTTATGGTATCATCCCCACTATCCCAGCATCATAGCAACCAGGAGATGAGTGTTTCACCTTCATGATGACTAAAGTCTTTCCTCATATTTCACAAATCCTTCATAGATAAGCATTTAACAACTATCTCTACATCTGAGTCCTTCTGTGTTGATGCTGCCCGAGAAGGACCCTCTCCTAAATCTGCTTTAGAATGA